TTTATTATGAACCCTAGAAGTTTCCACAAAACCAATGTGAGACTAACTGGCCTATGATTCCCTTTCTTATTCCTCTGCTCCTTGGACAGGGATGATGCAGTAATGGCCCTACCCTGGTGCAGTATTTGAGAACACTTCAGAAACTTATTTTCAGAGGCTCCACTATCTTCCTGACTTCATTTTGGAATGAAGATCATAGGGGCCCAGTGACTTTTCCATTTTGAATTTCCGAATGTACTGTATTTTTCCTTTGAATAATTATCCCTAATAGCTCAAAATCCTCCTCTGGTAATTCTACAATCCCACTTTAACAATCTTCTGCGAAAACCAAGGACTAATTGTTAATTGTGCCATTCCTTGATTCTCACTGACTTTCTGCTTTCTTTTCTAATTGTTTCGCTTCTTTCTTGATGCACCTCTTACTTTAAAATGCCTATGAAAACCTTGTATTTATCCTTTCTGTTACCGCCCCATTTTTTTCATATTCTCTCTTTAGCCATCATATGTCCCTTTTTGCCTCTTCTGCATTTTTCCCCATATTATCAGATGTATATTCATCGGGTTTCTTAGTGTCTCATTTTTGAAATATTTTTTCTATATCTCCCTGGCTCCCTAGTCTTGTTTTTGTACCCTCTTTGTAGGAATGTACATTACAAACCTTTAAGCATGATGATGTGTTTTCCACATGTGTTAGACACCTGGATGATGAAAGTAAAAGATCTATCTGCCTCATATTTAAATAATTGTTCCTGTTTTGGTTCCTTTTTAACTTGCATTCTTCAAGCTTTGCTTTTTTCAAGTTGAGAACCTTTAGCTTTGACTCTTTCCTTATTTTGTATTGAGATTAAGTTGTGGTTGCGCTTGCCAAAATGTTGCCCATTTTCAGTTCACCAACTTGCCCTGCTTCATTATCTAGAATCGGCTCCACTATTGCTTCCTTTCTTGGGTTGGTAACTGGGCAGTTTTGACTAACATAATCCTCAAGCGAAAGGTGCTATACAATGCAAAACTACATTTGTAAAGCGCCTTTAATGTCAGGGGGACATCCAAAGGCACTGAACAGACAGGGATTAGGACCCAAGCCGGGGGTTGAGGGGGTGGTTGGGGGTGGAGGAAAGAGAAGGTAGGAGGGTGACTAAAGGCATGGTCGAAGAGGAGGGTCTTGAGGCGTGACATGAAGGAGGCAAAGGGAATGTGGGATGGAGTTCCAGAGGGTGGGGCAGAGAGGTCGAAGGCTCAACCGCTGATTGTGAGGCAGGGGACATGGAGTAGGCTGGAGTCTGCTGAGGGGACGGAGCAGACAGGTTGATAATGGTTAGCAGGTAGGAGGGAACAAGGCCATGAAGGTGAGGACGAGGATTTTGAACTCAATCCTCTGAGGGATGGGGATCCAGTGGAGCCGGGCGAAGGTGGGTGTGATGGGATCACGGAGCCTGGTGCGGGAGAGGACATGAGCTGCAGAGTTCTGGATGATCTGCAGCTTGTGGAGGGAAGAGTTGGGAAGGCCAACAAGCAGGGATTGGCATAGTTGAGTCTGGATGTAGTGAAGGCATGTATGAGGGTTTCGGTGGCCTTAGGGGTGAGGCAGTGGCGGAGTTGAGCAATGTTGTTGAGGCAGAGCGAGTCATGGCACGGATGTGCGGGAGATAGGGCAGTTGAGGGTTGAACAAGACGCTTAGGTTCCTCACTGGCTCAATAAGGTGAGTGTGCATCTGTGGATTCTGAGGGGGTGTGGAGGGTGCTATATAAATCCGAGTTGTCGTTGCCAGTGCCTGATGTGCAGAGGCACAGGCGCGAGATAATCAGGAGAACTTTGATTTTGGTCTTGAGGAAATCCAGCATTTCCTTGGAGTTGGAGGGGATGATGGGTGAGGCATGAGAGGGTGGACGCTGGAGCAGTTGGTAGTGGAGAAGAGGAGCCTGGGGTTGTCCAGGCTATGTCAAATCCAGGAATTATTATTAATTTAAGGAACGAATGAAGAGTTATGAATTCATAGCATGTTTTAAAATCCAATTTTCATTTAAATATGGATTTATTGGTGTTTTCAAAGTACCTGTATTGTCCAACAGATAGTGTGCGTATACCATACATAATCCCAAACTGTAGAGATAAAGCAACCAAAGTTACTTTCCCCCAACTTTTATTAAAAGGCTTGAGGTACATGGTATACAGTGTAAGATGGTTAAACTCCAGCAGTACCCTAACGGATACTCTGAGGTCCCCAAGCCTTGATTCTTCCCAACCTGTACCTAAAACTTTCCGGAATTAGGTAAGCCGGATGCGTCCCACCTGTGTGCGCATTCCTTTCCAAACAGGGAAATTTCCATGTGTAGGTGGGATGCATGGAACTCTGTCTGATTTGGATCCTCTTCAGCATAGTGATGGAATTCCTCATGTATCACACATGCAGATGAACTCCGTCCCACCCACCCACCCACCCAAGAGGGGTGACACAAAGCACAAGTGTTTTTGGGAAGAACAAATTGCTATTATCCTCTTCCTCTGGGAAGAACGAATTGCTATTATCTTCGCTCCATTTCTCATCTGACAGACTGCGCCAGTGTTAAAGTAATCAAACGCTCATTTGCACAGTTTGGTAAGTAGGTCCTTGTTTGCATAAGCGGAGGCATTAGATTATATGGTGTCAGACAATGTGGCCAATACATGCTCCATCCCGCTGGGCAGTATGTCCAGCAATCCTATTTTAACTGCTTCCAGTTAAGAAAGGATTAGTGTACATTTTGATCAGTGTTTAACTAAGCTGCTTAGCAGCAGTCTCAGCAAACAACACATTCGGTAATCTACTATCTCTGTCCCTACTAATTGTTACTGTCTCTCCAAATCTGCTAATCTTATGTGACAAAGCATTTAATTCTCCATAAGCCTAAAAGCCTGTAACTTTGTTCTCTCCCATCCCATCCTATCCGTGATGTGATGGCCTCGACGGGCCAATCTAGTTATATCCAGAAGGTGTGTAGTTTTTTGGGGGGTTGTATGATAGTACCTACATTTGGCATAGTTCCTTTCATGTCAGGAGGTCCCAAAGTATTTCACAGGATACACTGTAAATGTGCCATTTTAAGCTGCATTTCTTTTGTGCCTATACAATTTGAAATCCAGTGAACTACAGGCTTTACTGCACACTGTTGGTTCTCACTGTTTTTATACTGTAGAAGGATTAGGGTTAAGGATAAATAAAGTTTACCGCGAGATCTCACTTAATCAAACAAGAACACTTTTAATTAACGTAAAGCCAGTCCTGCACGCAATTAGAGAGGACACTGCAGCTGTCCAGCCTCACCAACTCTTAACCCAACTAACCCTCAACAGACCTTTATACGCCTTAAACTCCTCCCTTAGGAAACATGACACTCGCCCTCCCAGCAGGGACGGTCTGGACCTCTCCAGTGAAATCCTGTAGAGTACTGGTTGGACCACTCGCCTCGCAAGTGGGAGGCCTTGGGTTCAATTCCTGCATGGGGAGAAACCTTAGAAATCTTACTCCACATGCCTTTGTTTACCGAGCAATAAGTAGGAACCTGGTTTTTAGTCGATTGACGGATCGCTTTCGGGGGGGAAAATATCCCTCCACAAAAAAATTGGTTATTCAATCCATGACTATTTGTGGGACACTGCTGCCATGTTTCGCCTACAAAATACAGTCAATTCACTTTACAATATATTCCGTGAAGCGCTTTGAAACGTCTCAACAACGTGATAAGGCACTATATCAAAATACAAGGATTATTATTAATTTTGCAGGGTGAGAAGTTGTGGTCTGATAAGAAATGCCTTGTATTGTTGTGGAATTTGTTTCCATAAATAAAAAATAAACAGTTGAAGGGGAATTGTGTGGTGTTTTACAAAGGGTGGATTTGAAAGGGCTCTCTCAAATACAAACCTTATCCAAGGGTTCAGTGTCAGGTGCTGCTGTTGAGAGATCTTACTCCTGCAGTGAGAGAAGTGGTGGGTTATTTTCAATTGTTTGTCTTTTCATTGGGATGTCAAAATGACGTGGTTGGATAAACATCACGCTTTATTTGAGGCCACTCAGTTTAGTACAGCAGAATTTACACACATCTGAAGAATGGGTGAAATTTATTTCACAACAAAGAAAGAAGTTGGTGTCAGTGCTTACTTTGAGAATCGATACCATTCCCACATGTTTCAATTTCTTTTTTAAAATCAAAGCATGGTAATAATAATAATAATAATCCTTGCATTTGATGTAGCGCTCTTCACGACTTCTAGACGTCCCAAAACGCTTCACAGAATATACTGTAAAGTGAATTGATTGTATATTTGTGGGCGAACGCAGCAGCCAATTGCGCACAGCAGTTGCCCACAAACAGTCGTGGGTTGAAAATGACCAATTGTATTATTGTTTTGTTTTTGGAGGGATTATTATGGTACAGTTACAATCACAGATAGCTAGGTGGCTGATGTTTCACTTTAAATAGGTTTATAAGAATGTACAGTGTAGCGAGGAATACGTATCAAGGCTATAGACTGACCAAATCTCCTAATAAACCCATTTAGTCTAAACCTACATTTAAATTATATACACAGTAGTTGATGCTTTTTTCTTCTCAAACATGTTGTCGTGTATTAAGCCAATGTTGGTGCTACTCGTGCTGATTGATAGTGAACCATTTTAAGATATAAAATCTACTTGAGGTGCTACTTGGGACGTCCTCCCAACGTGAAAGGTGCTATACAAATGTAATTTATATGTGAACCATTCTTTAGGCTCCAAGTCTGCACCTCAATGTTCCTTGATTTTGCAAAACAAACATGTCTTGTAGATAACTGTTAGTGGGCAACTTCCTTTCATTCCCTTTCTGGTGTGCAATCTGAGTTCTTTGAATCCTACAGCCCCCTATGGCAAAATAAATTCATTCATCTATTTCCTTATTGCAAATGCATACTGGGCATTAGGCTTTTAAAATTTGATAATTTGTTAAATGTGTTTCCATTGCTGTGTTCACCTTTGTCATGTTTCAGATTAACTCAGACTGGTTAGCCATGTAAAATGCAGTCAAATCCACTTTACAGTATATTCTGTGAAGCACTTAGATGTCCCACCAGATTATTAACATACAAATTATGAGATTGAAAGTAATGGGGTGGAAAAATAGTGTTGGAGTGCGAAAATATATTTTAAGGTGTTTTTTGTTGTTACATTCCAGAGCAAGGGAGTAAATGGGACCCACAGAGAGAAGATCGTTGTCATTTCTTGGTGAATGCAGAGAATGTGTGAATGCATTGACTATAACACTGTGTTGACCAAGTGTTGCAAAAGTGGAGACAAAATCAAGTGAAGTAGTTCAGGTTAGTGACTGTTCTTTTAATTGTTTTAACATCTATATTATTGTATTACTTTATAATATATTCTGTGAAGCGTTTGAGATGTCTCAACAACATGATAAAGTGCTATATCAAATATAAGAATTATTATTATTGTTGTAAGTGGAGTAGCAGCTGTACTTAAACTGATGCTGTTTTGATGGACCAATGTCAGGGATCAGAATTGACAAACCTGCAGGATCACCTGCAGGTCCCTCCATTTTTTGGGTGAGAAGAGGAAAGGTTATTGTTAGTTTAAGTTTCAGTTGATTGTGTTGTATAATAATTCTCCTTCAGAAATGGACTCAAAACGTTTAGGTTTACTCATTGTGAATGTGCAGAGGCAAGAATATTGATGATATCTGTTGCATTGACACTGCTCAATACCAGTGGTTTAATTTGTTTCCCTTTTAATTACGGTGGGGTGAAAAATAGTTTAATCTTGTCTTTACAAAGTTATTTTTTTCTGTAATTCAGTATCTGTCCTTCCCCTCCCACAACTGATCGATGGTCCAAAAGTGCAATCAGACTTCAGCACTGAGTCAAATATAGGCCTCCAAATAAAACTTTGTTTGAAGTTGTACACCACAGGGAGAGAGCCAAATAATTTCACAATAAAGTTATTTTGGATTTAATTTGGTGTCAAGGACATCGCTGTTGATAGATTCCTCCTGGAGGAATTCATATTTGGTGAATTACCTTTGTCTTACGGGTTTGTCATTGGTTCATTGAAACAATACGAAAACTTAAGTAGTTAAGGAATCTGCTCCCAAATTCTCAACCAGTCACTGGCCTCCAATGACAGACCACTGAAAAGGTCATTGCTTCATATGAACTATATTTCATATGATTTATTGGAAGCTTGTCTTTTCTTCTGTTGCCAACTATCATTAAGCTGACAGAGCACTCTAAGCAGCAAGCTGCTGTTCTTTCAGTACGTGACGTTGGGGCTGTGCTCGAAGAGATTTATCTCTTAATTTTAGTTGTTTGATTCTCCATTTTTATTAAAAGTTATAGTTTTGATTTGACATTAAGTATTCTGAGCAGAGCTCCAAATTTTTTCTTTCAAAGACCCTGTACATTACGTTGTTAATTAATAATTATAGTGCTGTAGGTATTTGTGTAATCTATTCACAAAGCAACTTATAAAGGGGAAAAAAGGCATTTAAGGGAAAAAAATGCCAGACAGGTTCATTAGCAGAAGGCATGCCAGGATTGTAAAAAAAAAGGCATCTGAATGGCAAAGAAATTTTTTGAACTGAACATGACGAGATGTGAAGGATAATAAAAAAAATGTCAGTTTCATTAAGAGAAAACGAAAAATGAGGCATGGAATTGGGCCATTGAAGGTGGGATCAGGTGAGGACATGACAAATGATGCTACACGAGCTGCAGAAGTACTAAATAAGTTTTTTGCCTCAGCTTTTACTGAGGAGGAGACCAGTCACTTTATTTAATCTCGAATGAGAATAATAATAATAATAATCCTTTCATTTGATATAGCGCTTTTCACATCTTTGCGACGTCTCAAAGCACTTCACAGAATATGCTGTAAAGTGAATTGATTGTATATTCGTGGGCGAAATGCAGCAGCCAATTGCGCACAAACAGTCGTGGATTGAAAATGACCAATTTATTATTGTTTTGGAGGGATTATTATTAACTCAAGGGTGTTGCCAAGATAAGCTGTGACACTGTTCACATCGCTACCAGTATGGTTGCCGAACAGCCATGCAAACGTGAGGTAAAATTAATCTCAGGGGCCAGATAAATTGCATCTGAGAATCCTTAAGGAATTTAGAACGGGAGGTGCAGGAACTCTGGCACAAACCTTTCAGAAATCACTGGATACTGGTGAGGTGCCGGGGGACTGGAGAAAGGCAGATGTTATTCCTACTTTTAAAAATGGTGTGAAAGTGACCCAGGAAACTACAGACTAATGAGTTTGACGTCCATTGTGTGTAAAGTTATGGAGACTTATTAAAAATAAGATCATGGAGCATCTGGACAGTAATAAAACCATGAAAGATAGCCAAAATAGTTTCATGAAGGGGATATCTTGCAAATCTAATTTACTGGTTTTCTTTGACAGCAAAACCATAGGCACGTTTCCTTACTCCAGACGCCTCAAGTACTCCGGGGCGCTATCCGTGTGAAGGTTGTTGTTGTTGTTTGTCTAGCAGTAAGTAGGAATCTGGTTATTTGTTGATTGATGGATCATTTTCTGGGGGTAATAATGCCCCCCCCCCACCCCCCCCAAATGGTCACTCAATCCACAACTGTTTGTGGGACACTCCTGCGTGCAATTGGCTGCCGCGTTTCGCCCACAAAATACAGTCAATTCACTTTACAATATATTCTGTGATTTGCTTTGAGACATCTTAGCGACATGATAAGGCGCTATATCAAATTCAAGAACTATTATTATTTGGAGTTCCATGCGTCTCCAAGAGGATATCTTGCCTGATGCTGAAAGTGCATTATAAAAAAGCAGCTTAGCTGGTGCAATGAACAAATATCTCTTGCAGGAGCTTTGAGATTAAGAGCTGGGTTACTGTGAAACACAGAGATGTACAAATGACAGCTAGGGAAGGTTTCAAGTTCAGCGTGTAGACAAAACCAAGCAACCCTGGTGCTTGCTGGTTATTCATCTGATTTCAGTATACTTGGAGGAGACACAACACATAATACACATGGCGCACCACATTGCTACGTAAAATGTTACAGGACACTATACAAAGCTGCGGTATAGCTGTTCCAACAACTCCAAGCATCTCTCTCTCACTCAGATTTCAATTCCTACCCATCTTCTCAAAAAAAAACCCAAATCTAACAAACATTCATGCATCTGTGAAATAACAGCACTTACAACCTGGAGGTATGTGCAAGGAATTGGCTAAATAAGGCCTCTAGGATCTATTCGATTTGTAGAAGTCTCCCTGAAGGGTGCTATATAAATATCAAACAGCTTCTAAAAGGGTGGTTTCACGGAGCATTTGACTCACAGCAGCTTCCAAATATGGGAACTCGGCTTTTTACTTAAACTAGAAAAGGAGGATGTGCTCCTCGACACTCAGATTAGGAAAAACCTATGCAGTGCCTATATTGTGGAGTCCTGTAGCTCAGTGGTTAGAGCACTCACTTTGAAAGTGAGAGACCTGAGTTCAATTCCAGGCAGGGGGAAACCTTGGGCAAGTTTCCTTACTCCACACGCCTAATAATACTCCCTCCAAAACCAAAAACAATAATAAATTGGTCATTTTCAATCTACGACTGTTTGTGGGACATTGCTGTGCGCAATTGGCTGCTGCGTTCGCCCACAAATATACAGTCAATTCACTTTACAGTGTGTTCTGTGAAAGCGCTTTGGGACGTCCTCCCGACGTGAAAAGCGCTATATCAAATGCAAGGATTATTATTATTATTATTGTAAAGTGAATTGACCCCATCCAACCAGACAGGAGTGCCTTTAAGCTTGGTACTTTTATTTTGCACGAGTACAGATTGGTCCATTGCATTCCGAATCACCTCCTTGAAGGAACTTTTAAAACCTGCCAGGCCCGCTCTGACCAGACTTCTCAAGAGGACAAAGTTGATCCTCTTAAAAATGTGACCATTTTGTTTGGGTTTTTATCACCAATCCCTGTAATATCAAAAGTGATAACTATTACTTAATCCCTCACTCACCTTTGTGTTGGAGATTTGATCGACCCTATTACTCATAAACTGGGTCAATAGAAAAGTGCGGAAATATTTGCCAAAATGTGGAGTACTTTACAAATTTTGTGGAAGGTTTTGGAGAATTTGTTGAATTTCTTAGAAAATTGTAGAGGATTAATTGGGCTGTTGACAGATGCATTTTGCTGCTAACTTACATTTTTTTCTCTTCTCATTTTTAAAAATTAAGCATGAAGAAATAACACATCATAGATTATTGGAAAAAAAATGGAAAATGAGGTGCTACCCCTTGGCTTCCTCACAGGATTTACAAAAACATTTGGACATTTTTGTACTGTACAACCTAAAAAGTGAAACAATCCCAATTAAGACTATAGGTATATATTTCCTGAAAATGTAGTTATGTTTAAAATATTAAATATTTTAATTTCAATAGTACAGCACTTACCAAGAATTTGTCACAGTAGTGTGACGCAGCTGCTTTTCCTATCGGGGTTTATCACCAGCGAAGTCAATTGCCCACACCCGCTGCTTCCGCGATCCCAAAATTCACCGCGCTACACATGCACCATCGGAGCCGCTCCGGCCATAGTTGAGCAAACAGCGCAGGTGACTTGGTGTCTAGCGCAGTCCAGTCTAAAAGTTACTACAAGAACAACATTACACTTGTGTAGCGCCTTTCAAGTCGGAAGGACGTCCCAAGGTTGTGGACATTCAGAGTTTCGGACCCGAGGGTCAGGATTGAGTGGGGGTGGGGGGAAGCAGGACGAACGAAAGCACAGTCGAAAAAGAGGATATTGAGATGAGTCTTGAAGGCGGCAAGGGAGGGGGCGAGGTGGAGGGACTGCGGGATGGAGTTCCAGAGGGTGAGGGTAGAGTGGCAGAAGGCCCGCCTGCCAATGGTGAGATGGGCGACTGGCTTAGTAAGGTGGAGTGTGTCTCCATGAATGGTGATGCCATCAGTGCCTGAGTTACGAAGGCGCTGACGGGAGACAATCAGGAGGCCCTCAGTCTTGTTGACGTTCAATTGAAGAAAATTAGATCTCATCCAGGACTTGATGTCTGACAGACAGTGGTCCTGGAGTTAAGGGCGGAGGCAGAGGGGTACAGTTGGATGTCATCTGCATGCATGTGGAAGTTGACTCCATGTCTGCGGATGATGTCACCAAGAAGGAGCACATAGATATTATAATAATAATAATCCTTGCATTTGATATAGCGCTTTTCACGTCGGGAGGACGTCCCAAAGAGCTTCACAGAACACACTGTAAAGTGAATTGACTGTATTTTTTGTGGGCGAACGCGGCAGCCAATTGCGCACAGCAATGTCCCACAAACAGTCGTAGGTTGAAAATGACCAATTTATTATTGTTTTTGGTTTTTGGAGGGATTATTATTAGGCGTGTGGAGTAAGGAAACTTGCCCAAGGTTTCGCCCTGCCTGGAATTGAACTCAGGTCTCTCGCTTGCAAAGCGAGTGCTCTAACCACTGAGCTACAGGACTCCACGATTGAAGGGGAGGGGACCAAGGACAGAGCCCTGAGCACACTGCACAAGACGGTGCAGGGGCTAGAGGAGAAACTGTTTGTGGAGATGAAGTGGAGGCGGTGTGGGAAGTCCGATCTGAACCAGTCATGGAGCCGTGAAGGTTGACCTGAGAGGAGAGGCGGTGGATAAGGATAGAGTGGTCAACGGTGTCGAAGGCAGCAGAGAGGTCAAGGAGGAGGAGGAGGAGGAGGCAGAGGGAGCCCTGCTCCAATATAGACAAAATGTTGTTTGTCACTTTGACCAGGGCAGTTTCTGTGCTGTGGGTGGCACGGAAACCCGATTGGAGGGGTTCGTAGGGAGTGGCTGGAGAAGAAGGAGCGAATCTGGGAAACAACAACTCGTTCCAGGACCTTGGAGAAGAAAGGGAGGTTGGAGATGGGGCGGTAGTTAGTACCCGAGGCGTTGTTTGTAGCGGATGAGAGCCGTTGTAGTGGAAAATGTGTGCCTGCGCTTGGCCCAGCTCATAACCAAATCCAAGATGTTATTTCTCATTGTTTGCTCCTTTACAAACCGAGTCTTCCTTTAATTCTAGGTTGGTCCCTTGCTAGTCACCTTCTTTATCTCATGCGATGGTGGAGCTACACCATAAGAGCTACAGCTACTGAAACAGCTTTTTCTCACCTGGATTGTGCTGACGTTGATGGTATCTTCTTGTTTTGTAGTAACAAATTCCTGATGGCCCAAAGCAGCATCTTTGCACTCTTGCTGCTGGTTATGGTCCTGAAGATCTTCAGATGTGGAGCTGAAGGTATTTTATGCTTTACTGAACAGTTTAAATTGCTTGCGAATATATCTTGGATAATTTGTGTCCAACACACAAGTAGGGAATAAACACAGGTCAAAAGTTAGAATAATTGCGAGAACCACTAGGGCAACTAGTATTGTTGTCATAGGCAACATCTGAAACAATTTTCTTAAAAAAATCAATTATCAATATCAAATTTATTCAAAATAAAATGACAATGAAAAGGAATTGTTGTTTTTCTGGGATCAGATGAACCAACATATTAAAGTTTTATGTAACTACTTGATGGTATTTTCAGGATGCTTCACATATTCGTGAAGTGTTTCATTGAATACTGTATCCAGAAAATTAAAAAATCTCTAAAATTGTGTACGTCTTCTATAGATGGAAATAAATCTATTGTTTATAATATTGCCAATTGATCAGAAATGTCTAAACTCCAGGTACAATAACTTTAAATCCAATGTGAATATAACATTTACCTTTTTAATTATCAAAAAATGGTAGGGGAAGTAAAGAATAGGAATATTTAGAATTTGAAACGTATTTAGGTGTGCAGGATAGGTGTCGTTATTTGTGGTTGTATTTCTTGCTCCAGGTAAACAGTGTTAACTGCAAACTACGGCAATTGCTTCTAGTCCTGATTTTCGGAACATATTCAGTAATGGATGCCAGAATATGACATTCAATCATTTTTTATTTTGCAGATGTATCCTGCTGTTACCAAGCTAGAGAGTATCCAATTTGCAGAGATGCATGTGAACAGGTATGAAAGTATTTTAGGTATTTATGTACATTATGAGGTGCTTTAAGGCACAGATCTTCAGGACATCACCCTCAGCTGATGGAAGCCCATCACCATTCTTAGGGGTGTATAAACCAGACCGAGTTCCACATATCAGTGACACAGAGGGATAGAAATTTCCCTTGTCTGAAATGGAATGTGCACTCTTTTCCTGGTGGGATGCTTGATAGGTACAGCGTGGGAAGAACCAAGGCTGTGCTGGAGTTCAACATTGCCCTTTTTCCTACAAATTCACTTCTGCATCTGCAGCCTTCTGGGATGGTGCATTACACAATTCTCTATGATAAATGTTTTCTGGTTTTACTTCTAACTAGCTCCACTGTAAGATTACATGCTCATGTTTTGTATCTTTACCGGAGGCAAAAGTTGTCTTCTGTCTAGCTTGGCAATAATTGCTTTATAATAAACTCTACATTCAGGTACTCTGTGTACCCAATACCTCTTAGTAGAAGTTGGAATGCTGTTGGAATGCTAGCTGTTTTCCTGTACTAGCCATAAATGGTCAGTGTACTTGACTGTAATTCTCTGTAAAGACCTTTGAGACGTTTTGACATTTTAGGTCATGTTAACTGGGTGTTCCAACAAAATGTAAATCTACTCCTGCTGTTGTGAGTGCATAAATCACTCAAAAACACAGTGATTCTTTGTAACTTATAAAGATCATTTTCATTTGAGGAAACTGAAGTGGGTATGTGCATACCCCCTCAAGCAATCACTGACCAGTACATGAATGGACAACAGTGACATTACACACAAATTCTATTTTTCTTTCAGACTGACACTTTATATCTTGCTCTTGGAAATTGACCCTCGATCTGCAAAGTCACTAGATGCTATTATTTTAGTATCCTCAAATTCTAACTATAGAATTGTTTTCAGTTTGGACAAAGAGAATCATTTTGTTCAGAGTGCTTTCTGGCCAGGGCATGTGATCCTATGGACATTGTAAAGTCATGAGCCAGCAATAGTAATGTATTTGATGTAGTCTCATGTGAAGAGGATATCTCAAAGCATTTACTGTAAAGGGTAGTGATGTGTATTTTGCCATTAACCTGGCAGCCAATTTGCATACAGCAATGATCCACAAACAGCCATTAAGTGAATGATCAGTGTGATCTGGTGAATTGTTGTCCCAGACATTGGGAGAATGTGCCTTTTCATTTTTGAATTGTTCAATAGGGTCTTGAACATCCAGCTGAACAGGTAGAAGGGATATCAGTTTATCTATTGTGAAGGACAGCACCTACAACAGTTCAGTGCACTTCCAAGCACTGCATTGTAGTACCAAGCTAAACTGCAAGTTCGAGGCTTGTTGTGACACGGACACACCATGTGTCTGCGTGGCAACATTCTGCTGGACAAGTGGTTCCAGGCGCTTGTGACCCATTTAATAAGAGTGGCATTTGGCAACTTTAAAATATTTTCCGAGATACATAGTGCTATAAGAATACTCTTTGAGTAAAACGAAGTCCAGATGGCTTGTTATCCAACAGACTATAGTACAGTATTTGATTGTTGAAACTAACAGATGTTATTGACTTTCTGCACGATTTGTTTTTTATGAAGTTTTAAATATTTAAAAACTTCAGAAATACTAGATAATAATCCCAACAACATTTCACAACCAGGTTCAAAACTACATACTGTAATTGTACTCTGAAATAAAAATGGTCACTATAAATCAAAGCACAATGATAATCGTTGCAGTGACGATTGCAGTGACTTTTTTTGCATTCTCTTGGTCCTAATTATGTCTTGGGTTTCTTTTATAGCTTTCTATAATCTTCACAGTCCTCAGTCTTATCTATTTCCCTTGCGCTTGCATATTTGCATAAATCTCTTCATTTTGTTAAGTCCTAATCATTCTCCTCAGCCATGGTGGCTTCATCCCAGAAATAATGCTCTTGCCTTTTTACGGGTATCCACATGTTTTTTAATTCACTGATTACAGTTTTGTATAAACCTCCTTAGCTGTCAACTTTCACTGTATTTCAGGAAGTTTTCTCCTCATTGTCTCAAAATTGGATTTAGTGAAGTCCAGCACCTTAGTTTTGGCTGTTTTTACTCCCCAAGGCCAATATCAAATACTGTCCTATTACTTCCATAATATCCCCTTGCGACCAGATTGCCAACTAATTCTGGTTCATAATTAAGTTGTGTATTGTCTGCTCTCTTGTTGGATTGAAACATGTTGGTATAGTATAGGACTTTATCCTGAATGCAAATGAATATACCATTTTGCTTTTCTACTTGTGTTGTTATTGCTCTCCTAATCTATATGGAAGTTTAAAATCTCCCATTATGATGCATTTATTTTCTATGTATTTTGTGGTCGGGGAGAGAAACATCATTACAACAGTGTGTTGTCTGCAGGCTAATATTACAGCATTAGGCAGAGGCCAGGGAGTGGAGTGTCTGGCTTTTATCCCTTTTTATCTCAATTGATTCGTGGCCTGAGGAGAAAATGTTCCCCTTGAAAGATCCGAGACAGTTTGACGAGCAGTTCAGCACAATGTTTATTCAGTCTTTTCTCCTGATATCATAGTACACACACATTAAGTTGTTTTTACAATTAATTTGTAGGAATCAGGGATGTAATGCAGATCTAGATCTTTGAAGCTGTCTTCCGTTGAGGTTTGTGGTTGATGTCTGCTTTGAACTACCCACCCACTGATTCTGTGTTTTCTGGCTGCAAATTCTAGCCCCTATCAGCTGCCAATTTCATCCCCCTACTTGCCAAAATTGGAGCCAAATATATCTAGCTTCAATAATATATCAGTGTTTGAAGTTTTCAACTTCACAACAGCTGTATGCTTCTTTTCAAATTGCTGGAAGTTTAATGATTGAAAGGGTAGTTACTCCCTGTAGTTTGAAAAAAAACACACCTTGGTTCCTGATTCATCAATTTTTCAGCTTGAGTGTTTTCTAGTGGAGGCATCAAGCTTAAGAGGACATTACCCTTATTTCCCTTCCTCAAACAGCATTGTATTTGATTTCCTAGGATCCCATCTAGAAGTCTATACTTACTTCCAATTCAACTCTCGCCCTCAGTCTTCCCTGTGGGTAATCTAACTGATCCAAAACTTTTGATGCACCTATTCTCACTCATACCAGCATCTGCCAATACTACCCTATCCAGTTCTTGCCAGGCTCCTATTGTAGAACAGATTGATTTCAGGTTCCTCACACTTACAAATCAATTAAAGTCCAAACACCTCCCTCGACCCTCTGCCCCATCATCGACGGCTGTGATTTCAGGCATTACACCCTGAAACTGTGGAACTCCCAACCTCAAGCCCTCTGCCTTGTCCTCTCCTTCAGATCGAGTTTAAAGTATCCATGGTAACCTTCCCTCTCTCACCGGATGGATGTCAAAACTGTGCCGTTGTGAAGCGCTATAAGACTCTACCTATGTAAAAGGTGCTATATAAATGCAAGTTGTTGTTGGGTGGGGAACTTTAATGGTGGCTACTTGTCACTGCATAGAAACTGAATTCAGAAGAGTTTGTGGGGGTGGAAAGGAGATCAGACTTGTGCTCCAGCACGGTGTATAAGTGCTCAAGTGCTCCGTTCACTGAAAAATTAAACTTTGTTTATCCTTAACAGTATCTAATTATCCTGCAGGAGTGGCAACTAAATATAGCAGCAAATTGTACAGGGGAGAAAAGACCAGACAGTACCCATCAATTATTTTGAAACTTGTTCCCTTACTGAAATTCAGAAAATTCCTTGAATAGCCCTAAATGTCTTAAAGGAATCTTCTCTTATCTATTTACAACCTTTCAGGGTCACACATACAGTAAACGTGTCAAATGTTTTTGATGCATGTTAATAATTTTTCCTTCAGCTCTGAGATGCTCCCCCAGTGTGAAAAGTGCTATATATTTTTTGGTCAGCCAGGTGTCTGACACATGTGGAAACCCAGCCCCACGCTCAAGAGCATCCAAGACGCACTGAGATTTCCATGCACCCCACCCAACACAGAAGTTGCAGAGATAGATTTTTGGAATGGAATGCGTACTCTCTCCCTGGAGGGATGCATCCTGCTCACCTAATTCTGGAAAGTATTAGGCTCAGGTTGGCAAAAGCCAAGGCTTAGGGACCCTGCATATGCATATCACACCCCCAACACAGAATCCTGCAGGGCTCTACTGACAGCATTTACCCATACTCTTTACTTTCTGCCCTCCAACCATCTTATGTACGACGTGAGTCTTTCTTTATAAAATACTTTCTCAATAAAATAAGACATAAGATTGTATTTCCCTTAATGTTGTATTCCCTAAGCTTTTTTTGTGGTGTTAGCTTATCAAATGCCTGTGGCAAATCAATTTATCCTCTTGTTATATATGCAAAGATTATTAATTCTTCAAAATAACACTTTCTCAAAAAATCCTGTAAAAACAGTCGAGCACAACCTGCATTTTAGAAATATGTGCTGACTGATTCAGAGTAACTTGTTTCTGTAAATGCTTAATAATAATAATAATAATAATAATGCTTGCATTTGATATAGCACCTTGTTACGTTGTTGAGTCAACAATGATAACACCTTGCATTTATATAGCGCTCTCCATGTGGGGTAGTGTCCTGGAGCGTTTGGGACGTCTCAAAGCTCTTCATCGAATATACTTTAAAGTGTGTATTAAAGACTCGATTTTGTGGGCGAAACGTGGCAGCCAATTGCGCACAACATTGTCCCACTCATGGATTGAGTGAACAAATTATTAGGTTTTTAATTTCTTTTTGGAGGGATTTTTACCCCCAGAAAATGATCTGCCAACCGGGTTTCTACTCGCTGCTTTGTAAACAGAGGTGTGTGGAGTCAGGAAAATTGCCTAAGGTTTCTTCCCGCCTGGGAAGCAAACCCGGGTCCTTTCGCTTGCGATGCAAGTGCTCTAACCAAGATGCTACAGGGCTTCAATTATTGGAGGCTTAATTATTTTATCTTTTATTGTAGGCGCTGGTGATTAGCAACAACATGATTTGTAATTGTTACATCTCCAGGTTAAAAAATTCCCATCTACATCTCAGGTTCATTCCCTGGCCTGTGCTGAGTTAGATTATCTTATCTAGTGCAGCATATGCAATTGCTCTCCCTATACCTAGACTCTTAACCTTGCCTACATACCCTGGTGCATGAACATAAAAACCTTACAAGATGAGCCCTGAAAAATAAAAAGCAAATGTTCTGAGTGGAGCCCTGAGGCTTATGTTGACTCCTGTAGTGTATTGGTTAGAGCACTCGCCTAGCAAGAAAAGAAAATTGCTTGTTCAATCCATAACTATTTGTGGAACACTGCTGTGTGCAATTGGCTGCTGCGTTTCACCCACAACATATATAGTCAATTCAACAACGACAACAACTTGGATTTATATAGTGCTCTCCATGCCGGGCGGCGTCTCAGAGCGCTTCACAGTAACAGAATCCGGGGCTGAGCCAGGGGGAGGGGGTGGAAGGTGACCAAAGGTGTGGTCGAAAAGAAAGATCTTCAGCAGAGACCTGAAAATAGGAAGAGAGGGAGCGAGGCGAAGGGAGTGAGGAAGGGAGTTCCAGAGCCCGGGGCATAGTGGCTGAAGGCACGGCCGCCGAGAGTGGAGCGGAGGACTTGGGGGATAAGGAGGAGGCCAGACTTGGAGGAATGAAGGCAATAGGCACTGTTTTGAAGAGAGAGAGGTCAGAGAGGTAGGGGGGTGCAGAGGAGTGGAGGGATTTGAAGAAAAGGGTGACGATCTTGAAGTCGATCCTCTCTGGGATAGGGAGCCAGTGCAGTCTGGCAAGGACTGGGGTGATCGGGGAGCGATGTTTGGTGCAGGTGAGAATGCGGGCGGCAGAGTTTTGAATGATTTGGATTTTATGGATGGTAGTGGATGGGAGACCGGCGATGAGGGCATTAGAGTAGTCCAGCCAAGAGGTGACAAAGGCATGGACCAGGGTTTCAGCAACTTTTGGAGAGAGGTATTGACAGAGACGAGCAATGCGTTGGAGGTGGAAGAAAGTGGTGCTGGTGAGCTTGGAGAGTTTTAGGGGGAGGTCGGGTAGGTGGAGGAGGTGCGAACAGTGAGATTTTAGACATTGACGAGAGCCAAAGAGTATGGCTTCCGTCTTGTCAACATTCAGCTGAAGGAAATTTGTGCTCATCCAGCCCCTGAGGTCTGACAGGCAGGCTATCACAGTATATTCTGTGAAGCGCTTTGTGACGTTTCGAAGGTGTGATAAGGTGTTATATCAAATGCAAGGGTTATTATTACTGAAATTATTTTCTATTTGAAGAGAATATATGTAGCGTTCACAATATGAAGCACAAAATGATGTCTACGTCACATTCACATACTCTAGGTGTACTGGTGCCAAGCCGCAATGTAATATAATGCACCATTAAACCTATTTCATAGTACCTAAAACCTTGGAGTAAAAACAAAGCATGGTGAAGACTCATTCCTTTGAGTAAGCTCATTATGTTTGGTTAATACTAAGATAGAGATTTAAATCCTTTGGGTTATCGTTTGATCTCTTATTAAATATTAAAATAAACTTTCCTTCAGAGGTTGCCTGCTCCTCAGTATTAAAAATGACTTAAAAAATCAGACTCCAAAAAAAAAAGCAGGTTGAAACCTTGTGCAAGCTTTCTTACTCCAAACACCTGATAATAATTCTTTTAAGAAAAAACAAAAATAAATTGGTTACTTCAATGCATGGTTTGTGGGACACTGCTGTGCGCAATTGGCTGCCGTGTTTCGCCCACAATTATACAGTCAATTCACTAAACAGTATATTCCGTGAAGCGCTTTGAGACGTCTGATATAAGTGATATATCAAATGCAAGGATTATTGTTATATATTTATCATTTCTGTAACATTCCATAAAATGTTTCTTTAAAATTACAATACACCACAAGAAGTAATTCCACCTCTGAAATATTATAGTAAATAATAATAATAATCCTTGCATTTGATATACCGCCTTATCAGATCTTCGAGATGTCTTCAAGTGCTCACAGAATATACTGTAAAGTGAATTGACTTATTTTGTGGGTGAAACGTAGCAGCCAGTTGCACACAGCAGTGTCCCACAAACAATCGTGAATTGAGTGAACAAATTATTATTATTTATATTTTGGAATGGATTAATACCCCCGGAAAAGTGATCTGCCAATCAACTAACAACTGGCTTCCTACTTACTGTAAGGTGAACAGAGGCATGTGGAGTAAGGAAACTTGCCCAACGTATTGCTATGCCGGCAATTGAACCCAGGTCCTCTCGCTTGTGAGGCGATGCTCTTAACAACTGAGCTACAGGACTCCATGTTCACACTGAGCCCTGCATCCCATCTGTCTTTTGGGGAAGAGAGAAAGGATGTAGGAAGTACTTGCCAGTGGCAGCACAGTGCAACCTATGCCTTCTGTTTTTTTTAAAGTAACATTTTTAAAATAGATGGATTTCCTCTTCTCCTGCACTACTTAATTAGTTACACATGAAACCTAACATTAAGTATCTCATTTTAAAATAGCGCAACCTATTGGTCAGTTAATTAAAACAATCTATGCCTTTATTCTGTGCAATTTTAGATCTTTCAATAGAATAAATTGGTGATTTAATATGAGCTGAGTACTTACTCTGCCTAATTTTACAAAACTTTTTTGACAGCTTACATCCACAAAAAGTGAGTCTCGACTGAAACATCTTCTACAACGATTGCCTGGTTACTGTCCTGAGTCCATGGTAAGAAACATTTACTGCTGTTGAGATAAAGCCTCAAATTTGCTGGCTGTCATTTATTGGTATAATAAATGATTATTATTAGTGTTATTACTACTATTATTATTTATCTCTAGTAAACCAGTTGCAGATATCATTGTCACAATGGGATCCTTTAACTGACCTAATAATTATCTTTTCTTAACCATGGAAAAATTACTTACAATTGTGCATATCTGAAATTACTGGATATATGATGTTTAAAACATGTTTTGTACCAAACAATTATATATTTAAACAAAAAGAATTGTTTTGAACACTGATTAATTTGTTCTGAAGCTTGCTATGTAATTTGTATCTGGGCTTATTATTTTTATTTCAGGTTGAGTTCTGGGTTTGCATCAACTCTTCTTTGCCTGGTAAGTAAGTAAGGATGTGAACAAGCTGAAGAGAGTGTTCTTGTTATACTTACTTCAAACAAAATCATTTTAAATATTGTAAATTGTCTTATCTTAAGTTACAGGGTTAGGTAGTCTTCCATTTGAAATCAGGTGTAGCATTTTGCCACAATATATATTCTCCATTCCACAAATTCCCCAGCAATGTTGAATACAATGATAGACATTTACATTGCGGAAGGATACCATTTGGCCCATTGAATCTATACTGGCTCTCTGATCAAGTTGCACTTTCCTCTCCACTGCAGGTTATCGGCACCAGTACAACAGCAACTTGTACTCATGTAGTAACTTCCATGTAGAAAAAAATAACTGCTTAGAAATTATGATGGGAAGCACCAAGAAGGGACAAATTCCAGGTCATTACTCTTTCCCCCACCACCCCCAAAATCGGTCCAATAAAATGTCCTTTCTTGGCTTGCCTCCTGCAGCATGACCTTTTCCTGTGATTTTACTAAGACCTCTCCTTCCATTGCTTACATAGCTGAAAATTCTTTTATGATCTTCCTTGCTGCCACGTGTGATTTGTCTCTAAATTCCTACTGCTTCCAATACTTATTTTGCCTGAACTTCAAATACCTTTTGAATGATTTGTTGTCATTACTCGTTTTTATATCTTCTGACATACTTTTGCTTATTTTTATCTTCCTTCTATAATCTCTCCAGTTAGACATGGGTATACAGCTAAAGGGAATGAAGCAGATTAGGTAAAGCAGCAGTACAGTTCTTCAAGTTGAGGTGTTTTTATTGAGAGGGTGGTAGGGATTGGGTTTCTGACACTTCCAGAAACCCATCACCGTGCTTAACAATATCCAAATGAGAGTTTCACATATGTACGCCATCTATAAATGGAAATTTCCCTATGTCTGGAATGAATCTATGTCCCTGGAGGAATGCATCCTACTTACTTTATTCTGGGAAATATTAGGTGCAGGTTGGCAAGAGCCAAGGCTTAGTAGCCAGAGGTGTGCATTTGGGTATTGCTGGAGTTTTACCAGATAAAAACAATTGGTTTGCCATTAAGAGCAATGCTTGGAATGGTTCCTGCTGCTTGGGCAGTTAGGACCACGCTTTCCGTTAGGGCTTTGACTTCCAGGGTTAACAGGAGCTGAGTGGAAAAAATCTCTGCTACCACTGTTACCTGCCCATCAAGTCCTGCTGATGAGCCAGGCTGGATGGTCTGTCATCGCAGTGCCCAGGATTACTGTGGACCTGCCTGGCTCAAGAACAGACGACCAAGATCGCCACAGAGGGTTGCCTCGATCCCAACTTTCTGACTTTGAGAGGTGTTTCTTAAAAGTACACTCGTCATGTGAAAAGGCAAAGTAAGGTAATGTGACAGCATTTTGCTGGAAATGTTTACCAGTGGAAAATAACTGGAGTTGGGTCTGTATTTACGTGGAACACATTCAGGGGCAAGGATGTGGCCAAGCCTAAATCCGTGTCGTAGCTCATTTCAGCTGCCAGATGATTTGTGGCTAAAGCCTCCACATCCAAAATGCATCCAGATGGGCAGGCAGTTCATTTGATGGAAATTATTTTGATAACGTTTTGCTGAAGGAGGAGCTGGAAACAGAAGAGTTCTAAGGAAGGCTTGTGGTTCTGGTACTTATCTAGCTTAGAGACTTTGTAGTGCTGGCTCCTATAACAGCTGTGAAGGACTGCTTCAGCCTTTGAACACATGTTAACTTGAAAGCAAAAATCCTACTGTTTGATATTTGGTTTATGAGTGTCTAAATTCTAGTGCTACTGAAAAACCTATACCTATTGAGAATCTTTAGTAAAATACAACAATTTGCATTTGTAGAGTGCTTTGGACCTAAAATAACATCTCAAGAGCATAACATATTTGACATTGAACAGAAAAATAAGTGTCAAAGATCTTGATCAAATACGGTGGGACAGATATATTTTCAGAGGTTTTTGAAAGCTCAGAGGTAGCAAAGCAAATATGAGAGAATTCTAGAATGGGGGAAATGTTGGCTGAAGGTTTGATCATTCACAGTAAAGCAAAAGAATATGGAGTGAGCAATGTGGGGGCCTAAAATAATAATAATCCATGCATTTGATATAGTGCCTTATCACGTCTTTGAGATGTCTCAAAGTGTAGCATATTGATTAAAGCACTCGCCTTGCAAGCGAGAGGAACTGGGTTCATTTCCTGGGTCGGGTGAAACCATAGATAAGTTTCCTTACTACACATGCCTATGGGACAATAGATATGGATTCTGAACCCACTGTAGGATGGCACGAAGGAAATTAGAGTGTTCGGAAAATCCATCCTGGAGGTGATAGAAGCATGGATAAGGTTTTCAGCAGCAGTGTGAAGTAAGTGCATATGTCCTGTATACTGGTTAGAGCACTTGCCTCACAAGCGAGAGGACCTGGATTCGATTCCTAGACAGGGTGAAACCTTAGGCAACTTTCCTTACTACACACACCTCTGTTTACCTAGCAGTAAGTAGGAACCCGGTTGTTAGGCGATTGATGGATTGCTTTCCAGAGGTAATAATCCATCTTAAAAAAAAAAAAAAAAATCCCCAAAATATATTTGGTCACTCAATCCACGACTGTTTGTTGGACACTGCTGTGCGTTTTTGGCTGATGCATTTATCCCACAAAATATACAGTCAATTAACTTTACAGTGTATTCTGTGACACATCTCAAAGAAGTGATAAGGCAATACAATACAAAATTACATTTGTATAGTGCCTTTCACATTGGGAGGACGACCCAAGGCACTGGACAGTCAGGGATTTGGACCCGGGTGGGGCAGGTGGATTTGGATTATGAAGTGGGGAGGGCAGGGAGGGTAGGAGAGTGGCTGAAGAGGAGGGTCTTGAGACATGCTTTGATTGAGGCAAGGGAGGGAAGGTAATGTGGGATGGAGTTCCAAAAGGTGGGGGTGGAGAGGCTGAAGGCCCGACCGCCGATGGTAGAGCGAGGACAAAGATTTTGAATGGGGATCCAGTGGAGCCGGGCGAGGATGGGGGTAATGGGGTCACGAAGCCTGGTGCGGGAGAGGACATGAGCTGCAGAGTTCTGGATGATCTGCAGTTTGTGGAGGGAAGCACGGAGTTGGTGCCTTACCAAATGCAAGTATTAGTATTATAAGTTCTGACTCGATCAGAGCTTGATGTCATTTCGGCAGCCAGTCAAACCGCAAATGTCCTAGAATGCAAGTTAGAGGTATAGAGGTAAAGTTGGTTATCATACCCATGGAAGTTAACTCTATGAGGTAGCACAGGGATGAGGAACTGGAGAGGATCAAAGATGAAGTTCTAAATAAGACCATAGGTGACTGTGTGTGTATGGGATGTGAAATAATCCTTGCATTTGGTAAAGCACCTTTTACATTGGGAGGACATCCCAAAGCACTTCACAGGATATTCTGTAAAGTGCAGTGATTGTGTATTTTGGGGGCGAACATGGCAGCCAGATTATACAATGTTCCACAAACAGCCATGAAGCGAATGACCAATTTTGTTTGGTCATTTTGGTGGGATTATTGATCAGGACCTTCCCATGGCACTATTCTAACAATGCCATGGGATCTTTAACGTCCACTTGAACAGGCAGAAGGGGCCTTGGTTTGAATCATCCAAAGGACAGTATCTCTGACAATGCGGCACCCCCTAGCACTGCATTGGAGCATCAGCTTGAGTTCCAAATGCTGATGTGGGCCTTGAATCCACACCTTCTGACTCAGAAGTGAAACTCCTATGAGCTGAGCCAGGCTGACACAATATATTTGAAAAAACAACATACATTTGTATAGCGTCTTTCATGTCGGGAGGACGTTCCAAGGCACTGGACAGTCAGGGATTTGAACTCGAACAAAGGGTTGGGATCAGGAGGGGTGGAGGGTAGTGAGTGTAGGGGTGACTGAAGGCACGATTGAAGAGGAGAGTCTTGAGACGTGCTTTGAAGAAGGCAAGGGAGGAAGCTAGGCGAAGGGACTGTGGAATGGAGTTCCAAATGTTGGGGCCAGAGATGCTGAAGGCCTGACCACCGATGGTGGGGCGGGCTGGTGGGGGGTCATGGAGCAGGCTGGAGCCTGGTGTGCCGAGGGAGTGGACAGGCATTGGCACAGGTAGGAATAGGGATATTTAAGATGATAGAGGGGTGAAGTTCATGCTTATAAGAAGAGTGATGACAGCAGTTTTGAAATGGGGAAGAGACCGTTACTAATAATAATAATAATAATAATAATAATCCTTGCATTTGATATAGCGCTTTTCACGTCGGGAGGACGTCCCAAAGCGCTTCACAGAACACACTGTAAAGTGAATTGACTGTATATTTGTGGGCGAACGCGGCAGCCAATTGCGCACAGCAATGTCCCACAAACAGTCGTAGATTGAAAATGACCAATTTAATTATTGTTTTTGGTTTTTTGGAGGGATTATTATTAGGCTCTGTGTGGAGTAAGGAAACTTGCCCAAGGTTTCGCCCTGACCTGCCTGGAATTGAACTCAGGTCTCTCACTTGCAAAGCGAGTGCTCTAACCACTGAGCTACAGGACTCCACAATAGAAGTTAATAATAGCTAACAAGGGGTAAAGAAGGGTTGGTCAAAAATTATTTTGGTGGATAGTTAGATAGAATGAAATGAATATTGTGAAAGTCAACTGTTGCTCCCAAGTTCTGGCTAGGTGGCATGACATAGAAAAAAAGAGTTTGACATTAGAGAGAGGATTAGTGAGGAAGCTAGGAAGCAAATGTTCCCCAGACCAAAAATGTTTGAAATGGGCTAGCGGTCTAAATGGTGAAGAACATTAAGAACAGTTAAGATTTTTTTAAATATAGAGCCCCTTTGTCCCTCTATTGCTTCAGGCAAATTGCAAAGGATGTATTAGAGTACAGTAAGACAAGACGATTCATTTTGAATTCGCCTGCTTCCTAATTGTGTCAATACATACTTGTCATGGCCATTCCTCAAAATGAATTTTTCCAGCAATGTTCCAGATGAGATGAGAAAAAATATAGAGCTGAGAAAAAATATTCATGTGGGCTTCATTTATTGGCAGAGGCACATTCTTCCTTTCCTGTGCAACGTGAGAGTGGTACTGACGTTCACATACCACTTCTCCCAAAAGCAACACAGGGCAACCTGGTTAGAGAACGGTCATGTGGGTATGGTATCTCGGAGGCTGCGTTAAAAGGGAAGGTGAAAAATGACAGGCTTCTGAGTTGTCAGGTTAATGTCAATGTAATTTCCTGCACACTGCCCATGTACGCTGTGCACAAAATAAAGCTGCTAGTATCAGTTGGATAATAATTGGATAGCATGTGTGTCCAGCGTGCAGGAAGTGACATTAGAGGGGCTTCTCCAACATACAGAGGGTACATTGACAGGGACCTGCTGACCAAAGGCCACCCGTATTGAGACCCTTGCTCAAGCAAGGCACTAACAGGTTGCCTTGTATTAGCAAAGATGTAGGATTATATATTTGTCCTTTTTAACAAATTTAAGCAAATAACATCATGATTGTTTGTAAATTTAATTCAAGCAATGCTTGGACTGGCTTGATGCACCATTTTTTCTAGTTCTGTACAATTCCACTTTGCTGTGCATTTTCAAATAATTCTAAATATATGAAAGGAAATACAGGAACACAAAAACTTATTTTATTCTCAACATCCTCCATATGTCCTAGGTTAAGATCTGCACATTGTTGGAATTTTGGAAAATTATTCCAAAGGACTTTCCTCCTTTCAGATTTTGTCATCCTGATGTTAGGAACTTACCCTCACATCTCATCATATCTGTGCTATGTATATATAAGCTGTAAAAGCTGCTTTGAAGCAATGTTTCAACTCATTAACTTCAAACAGTAAAATTCTTTGAGGGAACTACAATCACTGATAAGGACTCAAAGAACTTTCAGTTCTTTAGCAGTAGAAAACATTCTCAGTTTTGGATCATAGCTCCATTGCAAAGCATTCCTCCTTTGGCATCCCCTTTGCCACGTGGTATTTCTAAAATGTCCAACTTTCTTTGATTTGCCATCTTTGTCTACCCAAATAATAATAATCCTTACATTTAATATAGTGCATTTCAAGTTGCGAGGATGTCCCAAAGCACCTCACAGGATAAGCTATAAAGTGTAGTGATTGCCTCCACTGGCTCCCCATCCCCCAGAGGATCGAATTCAAGATCCTCATCCTCACCTACAAGGCCATTCACGGCCTTGCTCCCTCCTACCTCTCTGATCTACTATCCCCCTACTTACCTGCCCGTACCCTCCGTTCCTCTGGCTCCAGTCTGCTCCTCACCCCCCGCCCCAACCGCCCTACCATCGGTGGCCGGGCCTTCAGCCTCTCAGCCCCTAGGCTCTGGAACTCTATCCCCCAGTGCCTTTGCCTTGCTTCCTCCCTTTCCTCCTTCAAGGCCGGTCTCAAGACCTTTCTCTTTGACCGTGCCTTCAGCTCCCCTCTCGACTCTCTACCCCCTCCTCGCTCCCTCCCTTCCCTCCCCTCACCCTGACCATTTCCCCCCTGCTCGGGTCCTGACCCAACTTCCCGACGTGAAAGGCACTCTATAAATGGAATCTTGTTGTTGATTGTGTATTTTGTAGGCGAATGGGGCCCACAAATGAAGTGAATAACCAGTTTTATTTAGGGCATTGTTGGCCGGGACATCAAGAGAGACTCTCTTTCTAGACTGTTGGCTTATTGGAACTTGATTTTGGGAGGAGCAGGTTTGGGTCATCACCCGGCTGTTCATTACTCTATCAAGAATTAGTTAAGCAGAATGCATTTCTTGGGGAAAAGAGGGTGCATTCCAGACTTGGGAATCTCCATGTGCATGTAGGTGGTGTACATGGAACTCTCTGTTGAGTGTGGATACTCTTAAGCATGATGATGGGCTTCCGCTTATGTCAGACACCCGGCTTACCAAAAATAATTATTACTATATTCCAGGTGCTGCGTTTTCTCAACCAGTACAAAATTCTCATCTCAATCAGAACATGAGGACACATATTTTGTTCAGATGGTTTTGCTCTAGGGATAAGTATTACACTAGACCAGAAGGTTCAGAATTTCAGACCAGCATTACCTCCGCATTCTTGGTCGTGTAAAATCACATTCAGAGCATGGAAAAGTACAGAACAGAAAACGCTACTGTGTTCCATCTGGCAGTTTCAAAAGTAAAGAAAAATACTCTTAATTTCTACCCGAGCCTTTTCTTATTATTCTCAGCTTCAATAGGCTCCACAAAACTTCTGCATAATTCCGGCTCTACATATATTTACTTGCCTTATCCTGTATGCTCTCCGATGCCAATCTGTGATCTTTTCTGCAATGACCATACTGCCTATTTAATGACTCTTAATGAAAATAAATCTTCTGTATTTCAACTAAAATGTTAGACCAAAAAAGCTTTTCTGCCCATCTGAAATCCCACAATAATTAATTATAACAGACTGAAACTATTAACTTAAATAGTTGCAGCTCATTAAATTGCTGTACTTCGGGCCAGTCTGACAGTTAGAAAATGAAGGGATGCATATTTTTTACATTTGTAATAAAATAACTGATTCCTCCAAACAAAGCCTCTCTTAAATATTTGTAATCTAAATATTTCTGGATTTTGTTTCTAGGTGCATCGAAGAAGCCTGAAGGTTGGGTTGGCCTTGGGTGTTGCGAGCTGGCCATTGCTGTGGAATGTCGACGTGCATGCAAACAGGTAATGTGTTTCAGCTGTGAATTGTCTGAAGCCCAGCATTTCAGGAAGAGTTCAAATAAATAGCTTAGAAAAATACTGCACTTGAGTTTTTGGCAGTTATTGTTTTCTGGTGGATTTTTAGCTCAGGTCATTGTTTTTTTTAAACTGTTGGACCTAATGTAAGTTAGTTGTTCCCCCCTTTTTTAAGACATTGTACATTGTGTTATAATTGTCACCTTTTTAATGAACCACTTCATGCAAGCAGAGACCATATCCTCTGTGATCTTGGATCTTGGCCTTGTTCTTATTGGCCTTGTTGAGTATATGCCCGAGGGTTAAACCAATTCCCTTTATGAAATTTGCCCACTGGATTTGACTTGTCACAGATGCCTGCATTAATTATTGCCCAACAGGTGGCAGCACACCCCTTCCTGCAATTGTTTCCTTTCCCTCCAGATCCAGCGTTCCCATTTTTCTTAATTTTGAGGTGATGAGTATTACTGTAAATTGTGGCCCTACAATCCATCTCTTGGATAATAATATCAATAATGGCATTTGATATAGCATCTTTCAGGACAGAAATTTCTGTCGAAGTGCATTCACAGGATTGACTAAAGTGTAGTAACTGTAAAGTATAGTTGGTGACTCGGCAAATGTGGCAGCCAGTTTACGCATGGCAACGTCCCACAAACATCCACAAAACAATTTGATTTGGGAGAATTGTCGGCCAGGACACCGGGAGAAACTCCCTTCTCTTTTCTAATTCTGTTATGAAATCTTTAAAGTTCGTCTGTACAGGAACCATAGTTTAATGTCTCATCTGAAGGATGGATAGGTCATAAATTGAAGTGGGAATAGAATTGCATTAAAGCAACTGCATAAATCCTGAGACCAACTCCAAAAAACAGAAGGAAATCTCTTGGAAATGTACTGTAAATATTTGTCTTCATATTATACACTGTTAAACTTGATTTGATTCTGCTTCTGTTTAAAAGCGGACTGGTATTTTCATCCCAGAGGTGCAATTTAAATGGTATAGCAAGGAAGGGAAGGTCACATGGAGGACATCAGTGTCAAAAGCAAATTGGTCTTGATTTTTCCTTGTTTTACAACCTATGTTTTAACACCTGGATACAATGTGTTGCCAGTGCAACTGAACGTAACTCTTCAGCCTTTCATCCACAGCCAAAGTGTCTTTAGAAGTTGGAGCACATCGCATAAGACAGCAACAGGTTTGTCCACATCTGGAAAGTTGCTTAGTGGAAGCACTCAGCAAGGAGTCATTCTTAAGATTTTAGCAAGTGCGAGGCATTTTATCCTTGCTGATCCTTAAAACTAGTCCTAGATATATTTACATCACTTCTAAATAATCTGTTAGTACGAATAATATTTTAACCAAGACAGCTGAAGGCACAGATTTTATTTAATAGGCCTTATGTTGGAGCCTGTTTCCAATTGTGTATGCTACAATGTTAATGCAACACAATAATTTATATTTGCTATGCCTTAAGCACTGATCAGTATATCACTCATTTTCACATGAAAGCAACGAGGCATAGCCATGTGGCATCGACCTGCAGGTTCTACGGTGATCAAGTAATTCCAGGTTTGAGGTTTGTTTTCTTGAGCTTCTATTTATGCAGATACCAGTTCAACAGATTTGGATGGAATCTGTAGCTTGGGCAGCTAAAGTTAACATTTTCAATACTAAAATGATGTACTCGTTTTAAAACAACTTTCCCAAGTTTTTAATGCGGATTATTAAAGAATGGAATAATTCCAGGAATTATTCCAATGAAATTTCTTATTGTGTTACTTTGTTGGTCAAGTCTTACTTTGGAGTCCCGTACTGCAGTGATTAGAGTACTTGCCTCGCAAGTGGGAAGACCTGGGTTAGATTCCCAGGTTGAGCAAAACCTTAGGCAAGTTTCCTTACTCCACGTGCTTCTGTTTACCTTGCAGTAAGTAGAAACCTGGTTGCTAACTGATTGGTGGATCACTTTCTGGGGATAATAATCCTTCCAAAAAAACAACCAAAAATTTGGCCCCTCAAAAACCAATTGGTCACTCAATCCATGAATGTTTGTCGGACACTTGGCAATTGGCTGCCGTGTTTTGCCCACAAAATATAGTCAATTAACTTTACAATGTATTCTGTGAAGCTATTTGAGATGTCTCAACAATGTAATACAGCGCTATATCAAATGCAAAGATTATTATTAAGTCACATTTTTTACACTGTCAGCAGTGGATATATGGCCCTCCTATTCATTGGGCGTTCTAGCTGCTATGTTATAGAAATATTAATTAAATTTGGAAAAAAGTCTGTTAGCCAAGAAATTAAGATTTTCTCTGACTGGATAATCTTTCTATTCAAGTAAACCTGGATGTATTCTGAAGGCAATCTGTTCATATAGTCCATGAATATGATGCTGGGTGAGGTGTCAATAGTCCATTTGGGGATCAAAGTGGGAGACTTGAATTAAATTACGTATATAATTAAGATGCCAGTAATAAGAGTAGAGGACCAACAGCACTAAACTTGTGGGCAAACCCCAAAATCTTTAGAGTGAGTGTTGGCTTCTCCACAGCCCAACAGTATACGTTAAATGTTGATGAAGGGCTCTTTGTATCATAGTAAAGTTTTGATACATCAGCTGCCAAGAAGGTACAAAGCATATTGGCTTTTTTCTCCTAGGGCTCGACATATCAGAATTTCAGCAGCATGCATCTCCAAACTCATTGTGTTTGAGCAAATATAATAAAGAGAATTAAGAGAAACCAAGCTTATTTACAGGATTGCCTCTGGGACCTGAATTGGGATATCTTACTTCAGATGACGATTTAGTTGAGTATTTCTGTTCTGGGACTAGATTGTATCCAGAGGCCAAAGGTAATTCTTTGGTTAACCAGCTGCACAGTCATTTCTGTATTTCTTCAGTTTGAAGTGCAAATGGTGCATACGATCTTGACATCCTGTTTTGCTCATGTTCCCCCTTCCTGATTTGTAACTCATAGAAAATTGCCTGCATCTGATCCAAGTCTGGGATTGACAGGTGATTGTATTTCCTTAGGTCTTGTTGGCACAGTAATGCATTTATAGTGGTTATACAACAACAAAATTACATTTGTAAAGCGCCTTTCATGTTGGGAGGATGTGCCAAGGTGTAGAACAGTTAAGGATCAAGACCCAAACTTGGGGGGCAGGGTTGGGATGAGGGAGGGCAGAGGGGGTAGGAGAGTGGCTGAAGGCACAGTCAAAAAGGAAGATTTTGAGTCATGCCTTGAAGGAGGCGAGAGGGAGCAAGGCGAAGGGATTGTGGGATGGAGTTCCAAAGAGTGAGGGCAGAGAGGCTGAAAGCCTGGCCGCCGATGGTCGGGCAGGAGACCTGCAGCAGGCCAGAGCCTGCTGAGCAGAGAGAGCGGACAGGTTGATAGAGTGTCAGCAGGTCAGAGATGTAGGAGGGGACAAGGCCGTGGAGGGCCTTGAAAGTGAGGATCAGGATGTTGACTTCTATCCTCTGAGGAATGGGGAGCCAGTGGAGTCGGGTGATGGTGGGGATGATGGGGTCACGGAGCCTGGTGCGGAAGAGTACAAGAGCTGCAGAGTTTTGGATGATCTGCAGCTTCTGGAGGGAAGAGTTGGGGAGGCTGACAAGGAAGGAGTTTCTGTAGTCGAGCCTTGAGCGGACGAATACGTGTATGAGGGTTTCGACGCCCTGAAGGGTGAGGCGGTGGCGGAGTCGGGCAATGTTTCGGAGGTGGGGGAAGGCAGAGCTGGTCATGGCATAGATATGGGAAGAAAGGACAGTTGAGGGTCGAACAAGACGCCCAGGTTCCTGACTGGCTTGGTGAGGTGGATGCTGATGCTGCCAGTGCCTGAGATGCGGAGGTGCTGGCGAGAGCCAATCAGGTGGGCCTTGGTCTTGCTGACATTCAGCTGTAGAAAGTTGGCTCTCATCCAGGACTTGATGTCAGACAGACAGTCTGTCAGGTTGTCAGTTGTCCTGGAATCGAGAGTGGAAGCAGAGAGATAGAGTTGGGTGTACGTGTGGAAGTTGACCCCATGTCTGCGGATGATGTCACTAAGGGAGAGCATGTAGAGATTGAAGAGGAGGGGACAGAGGCCGGAGAAACTCCACACGAGACTGTGCGCGAGCTGGAAGGGAAACTTGGCGGAGACAAATTGGAGACAGTTTGAGAGATAAGCCCTGAACCATTCAAGGACAGAACCTTGTAGATTATGGTGAGAGGAGAGGCGGTGGAGGAAAATGGAGTGGTCCACTGTATTGAAGGCAGCAGAGAGGACAAGGAGGCAAAGGGAGCCCTGGTTACAGATGGACAAAATGCCATTAGTTGCCTTGACCAGAGCAGTTTCCATGCAGATTTTGTTCTGCCTCAGATACAATAATAAATTATAACAAAAATACTAAATTATTTGTTAGTAACTGGCTAGTAACTAGTCTTTCTCACGTCAGGATGACATACCCACAAAATCTGCTTTCTACTTTATATCAAAGTCAATGTGATAAATTTTGTAAATGTTCAGGTTACACTCATTTTTAGTGTTTTGCTTACAAATACACAGTCACTACATTTCACAGTAAAATCCACTGAAGCATTTTGAGATGTCTCAATGTTGTGATTAGGTGCTATGTGAAATGTAAGGATTATTTTTATTGTATCTGAGGCAGAAAAAAATCTGTTTGACAACACTGGTAATTGTTATCTGCTTACTACATCTTTGATATAGGTTACCCATAACGGTATTGGTAACACATAGCTTATTAGCATGAAACGCTGGTGAATTTCATAGTAGTAGTTGCCTTGCCTACCTAGGATGATCCTACCAGTCAGAAATTTGTTGTGCAGGGTTGAGGACATTTGTACACCTCTAAATCTTGAATAAGACAGGCTGAGTCAATCGAAGTCTGCCTTTGCACCTGTGTTGGTTACCACATGATATTCGCATTAGTTGAATCCAACCCTCTGAGCCTCTGAGATACTTATGTCACATCGGCTTTTTCATGTGGTTGTTGGGCAGGGTGGGACAGAGAGAAACATAAACCTCCACTAGAAAAATGAAGGTTGTGGAAAGTGATTCATTTACATTAGTCACATCAACGTTCTTGGTGAGATTAAACATATCTTGAAACTCTTCTCTCTACTGCAGGATTTGACAGATTTTCTTTCAGATAGAACATTAGGTGCTTTAGTCATGTTCTGTAGTGGAGTCCTGTGGCTCAGTGGTTAGAGCACTTGCTTTGCAAGCGAGAGACCTGAGTTCAATTCCAGGCAGAGGGCGAAACCTTGGGCAAGTTTCCTTACTCCACACGCCTAATAATAATCCCTCCAAAAACCAAAAACAATAATAAATTGGTCATTTTTCAATCTACGACTGTTTGTGGGACATTGCTGTGCGCAATTGGCTGCCGCGTTTGCCCACAAATATACAGTCAATTTACTTTACAGTGTGTTCTGTGAAGCGCTTTGGGACGTCCTCCTGACGTGAAAAGCGCTATATCAAATGCAAGGATTATTATTATTATTATTAGCTGCAATTTAAGTCACGACTGTTACTCAGGGATAATAATCTGGTGTGGAGGGCGCTATATAAATCCAAGTTGTTGTTGTTGATGGTGTAAATTGGTGGTGAAATTCCACGTATCACAGTTTGTGATAGGCGTATTTTTAAAATTTCATTTTCTTTGTGTAATACATCTGATGAGTAGATATGGAGGTAATCTTCACCTAGGTTGCTAGGCCTAGCAGTAGTATCTTTGGAAGTGGATTGGAAAGCTTACCTTTTTGACTGCGCTTTCTGTCATCTTTCTCCTCCTCACGCCCTTGGCTCAGAACCTGAGCTCAGCATTATCAACCTCTTTGAGCGGAGGCCCTATGTAAAAGTACATTTTATTGTACTGTACTGACTGGTTTGAATTACTACAATGCTTGAAATTCCATCTACCGCCAAGGAATCAACATATAGGGAATTCCAGCCATAGAGGGTTATTATACTAGTCTTTCACTTAACCCTTTCAATAAATCTTGGAAATTTGTTTTCAAACTACTCTCGCCAGAACTCAAAAATGCTCATGTTTTCAATGTAAATGAAGTGTCCATGTGAGATGGAGTCACTAAAGTTTATCTTAATCTAAAATTTCTTTTTTTTCTAAATTAATGTTTTGTTGGTGAAGAAATGTTAAATCTTAAGTTCTGTGGTTAGGATAAACATTTTAAAACACTGGGCTGTATTGTCTAAATGTACATAAATCTGAAAGTAATCAGCCTGTTTTTAAAATAGACCTGTGGTCAGTGAAGTTAATTGATTTATTTTGGATAGAATCTAAGCAGGGGACTGACTGCTTCAGCATATTGAACCTTGAAATTTATTTGATTAAATGAAATGTGTTGAAGCCTTTTGATGCCAATTCTGAGATCCAAAGAGGTGAAAAGTTTTTATTACAATGTTTTTCTTTTAGGCCTCCTCAAAGAATGACCTTAAAAGCTGCAGAAAAGAATATGAGGTTTGTATGATTAATAGTGGAAAGTGACAACAAAATGAAATATGAGGCTCTGTGCTTTTGATTTGTATCTATTCACACTGTTAAACTATGAATCTATGATTGTCATGCAGATAATCTATGATTGTCATGCCCTTTTAACAGTCAGGAGATTACAAGATTGTTCTCTGCATATCAGTTAATAATCAGTCTCTATATTTCAAGACTTTCACTTGGAATTATGCTAGCATACCAAAACGAAACACCACACCCTACCCTTGTTAGTTGAGACAAATACTAACAACTTGCATTTATATAGCACCCTTCACATGGAAACATTTCAGAGTGATTGACAAAGATTTGGTCAGATGTCAAGAAAGAAAGGGAAGGAGGTGATGGCTATGTGTGGATTTTGAACAAGTAAAGGGAAGGAGGTGATGGCTATGTGTGGATTTTGAACAAGTAAGTTTTTAGGAGGGTTTTAAAGATATAGAGCGAAGCCTAGAGGGAGGGCATTCCAGAGATTAGGGGAGTAATCGCTGATGGCTCAGCCACTGATGGAGGAGGGGGACATTCAGCAGACAAGAGTTAGACGAGCAGTGGGGAGAATGAACAGAAGAATGGGGTAGAAGATCACAGAGAAAAGGAGGTGGAAGATGTGAAACAAGCAATCGAGACCAAATGTGAGAGGAAAGAAAGACCAACTTACATTTATATAGCACCCTTGACGTGGGTAGTATAACAGAGCACTTATGAAACCAGTTGATGTTGGGAGAAAGGCAGTTCTAAGCAGGTGGTGACAATCTTAAGGAATGTCCAATCTGTCGCCTCAGAGATGCAACTAAGTATTCATTTAGGTGTAGAAATTGAACTATATTCAAGGAATAAGGAAGTCCACATTCTGGGAATCACAAGGTAGTGCTCCGAGGTGCTATCCTGTGTAAAGGGTGCTATAGAAATGCAAATTGTTATTGCTGAAATAGTAATACCTCACTAAAGATGAGTATTATCTCTTAATAAAATTATTCTCAATTTGCTGAATTATCCATAGTCATTAGTTGGGGTTGGCATAGTTCCTCAATTTGATGTTTGTATTCTACTACATCTGTGATTTACATCCTTTAAACAATTACAACCACATTTGAAGCCTACTGTGTAGCTTTTTTTAAAGAAGTTCTGATTTCTCTTTCATCAATCGTGCTTGCTTTGGTTGCAAAACAAATCCAGATTTCCACTTCAGTGAGCTCACTAAAAGGGTAGGGGAGCATTATATGGTTCCAGCAGGAAGCATCCTAAACAGACAGTTATCTTCTTTATCATACTAATAACATGTGGAGTATTATTGGATTGAAGGAATTACGAATAGGGCATTTGAAGTTGAAGGCACTTTTTAAAATGCAATTGTAAAATATAACGTGTATGCTTATATGACAAAGTAGACCTGTTTTTCAGTCTATCCACCCTGTCCGTGGATTAAATTAGAAGTGCCCCTTTAAGTTAAAAAATTGGTATAGGTAAAGGCAGGTGCAGGTAGAAGGGAAGGGTAGGTGATAACCTGAGAGGAAGGGGATACTTGAAGGTTGGGTTGCTTGAGATAAGGCATGTGAGAGGCAGATTCAACACCCGCACAGACCAGTGGGAAAAAAAATAATTTTTCTCTTGCTTTGAAAATGTTTATTGACTTTAGGCTGAATAAAAGGGCATGATTTGCTATAAAATCCGGGCTCTTTGTGTGTGAATATAATCTCTTCAAAAGAGGGAGGGGTGGAAAAGAAACAACATTCTTAAATTCTTTGGTGGTGATGGAAGAAGTTTCCTCATTAGCTCCCCATGAAACATAAAGAAATAATTCATGCTTACATCCTGTTTCTTCGTACTGTTTCAGTGCAGACCATGAACACTGATGACTTTATCTGGTTGTAAAAAAAACAATTTGGAGGAATTTCTGAGCCAGAGCATGTGGGAGCTAGGTTAACATCAATGGATAGTCATTAACCCTGAGGCCAGTTAACTGATCTTGTAATTTCCACTGTGTGTGTTAATTCAACTTTCTCACACTATCAGACTCCATAATCATTCCCAGCCAGCTTTCCTGATGTAATTCACAGCAGTCTTCATTTAAACAAATGTTTTCAAAAGCAACAGAGAGTGTCCGAGAAGATGAAGGTTGTCAAATGTATATGTGTACTCTGAATGCCTAGTGCTGTAGTAGGATTGCAATAGTATTATCTCATTGCCTAAGTAGTTGTGTGAAACTGACATTTAATTATTCTTTTCTAAATTACCTTTCAAATATTTGTTCTGATTAGACTAACTTGAAAACAGTCTTAAATAATGTCTTCTTGTAAAGTAGTTATGTTTAAAGGGTTTATCGTGGTTTTTTTTAACACCGATTTCAACTCGTATTTTTATAGGTCTTGGCTGTGCCTGCTTCAAGGTTTCGCCTCCCTCTCTGAGGTCTCTAACCACTATATTCTTTCCTACCGCAGTGGTGTCTTTTTATCATTTTGTTTACTCATCCGCTGTGGTTTGTGCTGCTAATATTTAACATTTTAAATTTGCTCCTACTCTGTTCAGCTTCCTCGAATCTGTGACACAATTCCATTTGTTACCCCAGTTGTACTTGAACAGCTGTGCTTTAATTGGCTCTTATTAAGTTGTGATAATTATTTTTGTGTTGTAATTGCACGCAATCTGCAGTCTCTGATTGGTGTTCACTGCTAATGTCTTATAAAGCTGAATGAGGGCAGGTTGGTTGATACCACTGCAGAACATAATACACCTTTAATATGGTTGTTTTAAAAAAAAGTATTTTAATAAGAGGGAGATTACTGAATATTTTTAACAACCCAGGAAAATGACTACTGGTGCAGCCTTGGTCACTCTTGGGAACAAGTAATCATTCTCAGCTGGAGCATCAAGCCATTATTGGGGAACAGGACTCAAACCTTCTTATCAGTTGTACTCTATCTATGGCCAGTCACAACACTATTGTTAATGCCATGGTCTGCATGCTTCCATCTTCAAGACAGATTGGTTGTGCGCCCATGAGAGGTGTTTAAAAAATGGGAGTGGGCATATTTAGTTATGTTTTTGATTATATCTTGCTGTTATGCACATTAACACTTACGTTGGTTGTATTTCAGACTGCCTTTTACAGCTGTGTGAACAGAAATGAGAGTAAGTTATGGTTTCTTTAACCAGGGAATGGAGGATTTTCTGTTTCCCAAAAAAGACCGTAAATGAAAAGTTTTTTAGTGGTTCAGTAGAACTCGCAGAAGTCTTATCTGTATAAATCGGATAATGGCCAAAGTTGACATTCTCCCGAGTCCTGTTTAATTTCGTATTAAATTCACTTGTATGTATCTGCACAAGTCGTATTTAAAGCGTAACACCACCATTGCACTTGCTGCTAATATACTCTGAGCTGACGGGTCAAAATTCACTCAAACGGAACACTGCACATACACACCTCAAAGCGCTCCACGCCCTCCCTCCCGAGGCCTAACATCATTGTCATAACATGGCGGTGGGTGGAGAGAGGAAAGAGCGTCACCCGATCATGTGGTGAGTGAGGGGGTGTGGAATATCTGATCACGTGGAGAGTGAATGGGACCTTTCACCCTGTGTACGCTTACCAGCCTTGAAGTAGTATGTACAGTGCCCCACGTGAAACAGTCCTGGGAACCTAAGTCTGATCAGTCATTGCATGTGCACTTCCCGACTGCAATGCCGAAGGACCACATGCGTAGTACAGAACAGTGAATAAGTACAGAAGACGAGGCTTTCACCAGTCATCGTTGCATCAGGCAATGCAGATACCCCAACCAAACACAAATTTAATTTATATTCTATTAAAACGTTTCTGTTTTGAAACCTGTTTGGTTGTGCCATCCATTGTACAGTACAAGTTTTCTGCACGTGTGGTACAATATTGTATATGTAAAGAATGGGCTACCATAGCTTTAATATGCATGTGTTAAACATGCTGCAGTAGCCTTGCCTTAATGTCACCAGCCAATTCAGTACTTGTGCATCGTTAATGTTAATCATATAAAATCTGACATACATATGTATAACACAGAATAATTAACTGTAGTGCAGCTTAATAACCAAAGTACTATTATAAATACAGTAGGATATGATATGAATATAAACTGACTGAACTTGATTCTTGCTATTCAACATAAATCTCTTCCTTTTAATGCTTCTGGCCATCTGTTCTTTTCATTGAGTACCATTTTTTAATGTATAAGTGAGTAGGGAAGACCAATAGTTTACATGGGAATGGTAATCCTTTTCATAACAATCTTTAATTTTTGCAATTACTTAAGATTTGAAAAGATATTGCAGCACAGTTCTGGAATTGTAGATTATATGAAAAATAATATTTATGTGTTTTTGTTTGCAGTGGGCTCCCTATGTTGTAGCTATGCAGGACGACACACAAACTGCAGAGAATATTGTCAAGCAATTTTCCGCACAGATTCTTCTCCAAGTCAATCGCAGATTAGAGCAGTAGAAAACTATTGTGCCTCTATCAGTCCACAGCTTATTCACTGTGTTGACAACTATACACGTTCATATCCCATGAAAAATCCCATTGACAGTAAGTAACAAATAGTTTTCTGTTGTAGAAATTTTAAGAACAAACTGTTTGATGTCTGTTGAATGAAGAATTTTAGTTCATTTGCTCTTGAGGGTTAATTCATACATGACATTAGCTTTCATTACAATGGCAATTAATTATAAAAACACAGTTCATGTAGTGTATTACTGTTGCAGATGTTTAACATTGCCTTTTCCTCAGCATTGCAAAGCTTCATTAGCACTGGGTGAATATTCTGCAGGAACTGGCCATTCTAGAGAGGGCTTGAGACTTCAAAGAATGTCAACTATGAGTGTTTATTTTAGTTAGGGGACTGAAATATTACTTTTTGGGTGACGGTTCAATGCGTATGTTTTTTTTAAACTATCAAACAGCCCCATCTCACTAATATATCTCTTAAGAAGCAAGAATAAAACAATACTTAAATAAACTAGGGGCCACAACAGAATTGAGAATAATAAGAATTTCACACTAGAATGAGACGATCGATTGAGGCGAAGATTGAGAGGCAATATGATTGCTGTCTTTAAGATTCTAAACAGACTGGACAATGTAGATCAATCAGGCTGTTTCAACTTGTCCAGATAGTAAAACCAGAGAACATGGCCTGCGCTTGGAGGGGGGTAAATTCAGAACAAATCTACGGAAACACTATTTCAGTGAGCGAATCGTGAATCTGGGAGAGGCTCCCTAGGAAGACGGTTGAAGCAGGAAGTGTTGATTCCTTCAAACACAGATTAGATAATTTTCTTTTAGGAAATAACATTATGGGATATAGTACATAGGTAGTTTGAGATATATGTACATGTGACCCCCAGGAAGGTGAAAGGCAAACTTGATGGACCTTGGTCTATTTTTTGTCTAGCATTTCTTACATTCTTATGAATGCATCATTTGAAAAGAGTGTGGCCAGAAAGCATGTGAAAAAGTTTCACATTTAAGTCTGCAGGTACAGTATCAGAAACATTAATATTTGGCATTGTGATTACCAATTGGATGGTTTCTTTTGCATGAGCGTTAGTTTTAATATGTTAACCTACGTAGCCAGATTCAAGGCAATCACAGTCATTTTTACAAGCAATGACATGAAATAGTCTTGCAGGAATTATCAAAGCTGCTAAATCATACAGTTCTTTTTATGTCAGGTAGGTAGTTCAGTTAAATAAAAAGCAAAATACTGCAAGTGCTGGAAATCTGAAACAAAATCAGAGATTGCTGGGAACACTCAGCAGGTCAGTCAGCAGCTATGAGAAAGAAAAGTGGATCAACATTTTGGGTCCATGACCCTTTGGAAGGATCTCTGAGGTAGTTCATTAAACTGTATTCTGGCTGTGTTTGCTATAAATACCTGAGGGTTGTCTATGGGCAATGTGTAGGCACCAAGATACTTTAATAATGTAGAATTGTGTTCAAATCCCTTCTCTCCCTGACACCCCCCTATCTCCTCACTTCCCAATCCACCATCGAGCGCCTCCACTCAACTGGACCGGCCTCCTGCTTGTCCTTCATGCCCTCCACTCCAGCATTGGAGATCATGCTTTCAGCCACTACACCTTGAAGCTCTGAAACCTCAAGCCCTCGGCCTGTCTCTCTCCTTTTTCAAGTCCCTCCTGGAAACCTTCCTTTTTGACGACCCCTCCCTCCCTCCCCCTGCTTGGAGTCAGGCACTGTTAAACGCTCTGAGACGCTACCCTGCATGGAAGGCGCTATATAAATGCAACTTGTTGTTGCATAAATAAAGATTTAAAGAGTTCATAACTGCAATTATTATAAATTAGGGAAAGGTAGAAATAGGAGAATTTAAGTATCATAAAGTACTTGAATATGTGTATACGGACTCAGATACAGTAGAAACCCAGTTTGCGGTCACCTCGATAATCCAACCATCTCACAATTGCGGGCATATTTTCACAGTCTCTTTCATTGTCAATGTTAAAAGATAGGCTGTCTGCTTCAGTAAACCGGGCACCTCACTATTCAGGACAGTGAATTGATTGTATCCGCTACAGCGCCCTCCTCCGCTTCAAACACGGTACAAACACCCCCTCTGATGTAACCTGTGCGCTAGGCCTCGGGCTTCTTGCGCTGTTTCCTCAACGATGCTTCTGTGGGCAGAGTGGGCTCTGGTTGCGCATGCGTCGTGCGGAGAATTGGGATTGCGGAAGCAGTGCGAGCGGGAAATCGACTTTGGCCAGCGCCCCTGGCCTAACCTGAGCTCCTGCAGCCAATTCTTGGTAAGTGCTGTAAATATGCCACCACAGAAGGAGTTGTCCTTACGTGAGAGAGTGGACTTAATCAAAACATTAATGATTTGGATTCGGGAATCAGCAGTAAAGGTTCAAAATTTGCAGACGACACCAATTTGGGGGGAGTAGTTAATACAGAGGAGGCCTGCCACAAATTACAGCAAGATATTAATAAACTTGCTGAATGGGCATTTAAATGGCAAATGCATTTCAATGTAGAAAAGTGTGAGGTGGTACATTTTGGTAGAAGGAATAAGGAAGTCACATACATCCTGGAAAATAAAAACCTAAATGGGGTAGAGGAGCAAACGGACCTAGGGTTACACATACACAATTCACTAAAAGTAGCAACACAGGTTAATAAGGCCATTAAAAAAAACACAGGCATTGGGGTTCATTTCTAGAGGGATATAAATGAAAAGCAGGGAAGTTATGATAAATTTCTACAGAACCTTGGTTAGACCACACTTAGAATACTGTGTGCAGTTCTGGTCCCCACATTATAGAAGGGATGTAGAGGCACTGGAGAGGGTGCAAAGGAGATTCACAAGGATGATCCCAGAACTGAGAGGTTATACCTATCAGGAAAGGCTAAACATGCTTGATTCTTCTCTTGAAAAGAAGAGCGTAAGGGGTGACCTGATAGAGGTCTTTAAAATGATGAAAGGTTTTGATAGGATAGACATAGGGAAGATGTTACCATTTGTGGGGGAGACCAAAACCAGAGGCCATCAATATACAATAGTCACAAATAGGGAAGTTAGAAGAAATTTCTTCCCACAGAGAGTAGTGGGAATGTGGAACATTCTACCACAAGGAGTTGTTGAGGCAAATTGCATAGATGTATTTAAGGGAAAGCTAAATAGGGTACATGAGGGAGAAAGGAATAGAAGGTTATGCTTAAAGGTTTAGTTGAGGAAGGGCAGGATGAAGCTCATGTGGAGCATAAAAACCGGCATAGACCAGTTGGGCCGAATGGCCTGTTTCTATGCTGTATATTCTAACGTAAAAACAGTAAGCACAGAATTCATAGACTGTTTCACTGGCTTTGGAGAATGTAACCAACTTGTGTTCTGCCAAAGGATGGTTGAATACTTGACAGCTTTTGTTTTAAGTGTGACAGTGCCTTTATTTTAATGAGATTGCAAAGTATGGTTGTTGAATGTTCATCACCCTTGCCCATTACCTCAGTGACCTGAATCACCCGACCTGTTTCAATAACCAGGTCACCTCACTAAGTAGGTCACTTTTGCCCAGTCACTTGAGTAACTGGATTAGTGAGGTTCTGCTGTATATTGTAAAAAGAGTGTATACATCTCTCTCTCAAATATATATATTAGATATATATATGTGTGTGTATGTATAGTATATATATAGCCAGTGTTATACATGTAAACTATTTAAAAACAAATGGGTCACGAGCAAAGCAGTGTCTGTGTAGAGGATGTACTATAAGATACAGGAGAGAATCATTACAGTAAAGCAGCTGTCAAACATGTTAGACAGAGTGGTGTGAAATATGAGCAGTAAGGTCAGCAATAGGTCACCCGAATAGTTAGCACATAGTAATGATCTTAGTATTAAATAACTCTTAGCAGACATAGATACTCCTGTCTCTGTGAGCCGATCATTCCTGGACATTTAGTTATCACTGTAATGTAGTCTTCAATAATACAGTGGAGCTTTACTGCTGTAATGAGCCTAACCCACTAATAAATATAAAACATTTTGACAGGAGACATTTTTTTAAAATCTCAGCTTGCCCCGTTTTACTTTCTTTTCCCAATTCTGCCTATTTACTATTTTCTCTCCTCTGGAACCGCACCCTCTAGAACTCTCCCTCTTTCTCTCTTCTGCTTATTCATTTCTGACTATTATAATCCAACTCTCCAGGCTTGTATTGCTGTGACAGAGCAGAGGACCATGCTTGTCAAAGCACGTGCCGAAGAGTGCTGATGACAATGGCAACAGAGCATGAAATTGTTGATGGACTTATCGAAGGTTGTAAAAAAATGCCGCTGCCTCAGGATCCACTCTGGCAGTGCTTTCTAGAAAGTTCCGGATCAAATAACACTTCAAATGGGTTACCAGCTACAGCTGTCGATGGTGCTAAATTACACTGTTGTTCAAAAGCAAATACATCTGTCTGCAGGTGGGTATAATTAAAATGAAGTACAAATGATTATTTTTAACCGTAAGGAAGTACCATCCTTTGGATGAGATGATAACCGGAGGTCCCATCAGTCTGTTCAGGTGGACATTAAAAATCTCTTGACACTATTTGAAAAGAGAAAGGAGTTTCTCCCGGTGTCCTGGCCAACAATCCCCCAAATAAAATTGGTCACTCAGTCCTTGGGGACATTGCTGTGCACACGTGGCAAGACCTTTCTGATGAGATATAAATCATGTCTCTGTGTCAATCGGTTATTGAGATCTTGGCTGATACACTACACACATTGTAGTTTTATTAGTATAGAAGATATAATATATATAAGATATCTGGAGAGCATTTCATTCCAAGTCAGAAACAGGCATTAGCTTGGTCTCTGCTTCTCCTAGTTTAGAATGAGATCCTCCTGTATGATGAGGATGAGGAACGATCACTACTGGATGGTAGCAGACAGAAATGTCCATCCAATGTATGATGAAATAGCCCCATCAAGGAATAAGAAAGGAAGTGTTAGATTACTTCAGTTTTGTACTGATTTTTGCAAACTTTGCCTGTAAATCAACCATGTGGAGAATTGCTTAAATGTGTAACAAATTTAATAATTATATTGTAAAAATAATAATCCTTGTATTTGATAAAGCGCCTTATCATGTCGTTGAGACATATAGTGCTCCAGAAAATATACCATAAAGTGAATTGGCTGTATATTTTGTGGGTGAGATGCTTAGCCAATTGCGCCCAGCTGTGTCCCACAAACAGTCTTGGACTGAGGGACCAACTTGGTTGCTACTTACTGCTAGGTAAACAGAGTCATGTGGAATAAAGAAACTTGCCTAAGGTTTCGCCCCGGGAATCGAACCCGGGTCCTCTCACAGTAGAGGACTCCATTGTATTTGTATTCAAATTTGTATTTTGACCTCAAGACTAGTACTTTTTTTTGAGGATAAGCAACTCCTGTCTCTATTTTAAACAATCTATGTCCTTACATTGACAGGGATCTGTGTATTAAGTTATACAGCACAAGGTGGGGAAGTGCAACACACTGGCAAGAATTTGACAGGATCTGTGAATATAACCCTCAGGAAGCCTCTATGTTTATGTGCTTGGCTGATGTAAGAGAACCATGCCAGCTGGGTTGCCAGAGTCTGAAATACTGTACTAACTTCAATAACCGGTAAGACTCTTTCTCTGCTTTAAATGTCATAGCTTTATATACAAAAGTCCTGCTTTTGTGGTTTTATTACAATTTGACCTAGTCTTCTGAGGTAATGTTAAGATCTTAAAGGAATAACGTTTTCAAGGCTATTGGACCTTGAAGCATTATAATGGTATAGATTATGTTACAACCTATTTGTTGAGTCCTTACATGACCTAATACAGTAACAATAAGTGAAAATATACCAATTTATCCATTGTGGAACCTTCTGTTGGCACCCGTCAGCACCTCCACACCTCAGCACTGTCAACATTACCATTCAAGGATGCACACTCTACCTCACTGAGCCACTCCAGAACCTTGGCATCTTGTTTGACTCTCAACTGTCCTTTCTACCCCACTTATGTACCATGATCCGCTCTGCTTCCCGCACCTCTGAAACATTGCCCGGTTCCGTCACTGCCTCACCCCTCATCCATGCATTCGTCATATCTAGGCTCGACTACGTCAACTCCCTGCTTGTCGGCCTTTCCAACTCTTCCTTCCACAAGCTGCAGATAATCCAGAACTCTGCAGCTCCTGTCCTGTCCCACACCAGGCTCCGTGAGCCCACCCTTGCCCGGCTCCACAGGCTCCCCACCCCCCAGAGGATAGAGTTTAATATCCTTGTCCTTGCCCCTTCCTACCTCTGTAACCTGCTAACCTTATTAACCTCTCCACTCCCTCCGCTCAGCAAGCTCTGGCCTGCCCCACCATCGGCGGATAGGCTTTCAGCTCTTCTGCCCCACCCTATGGAACTTCATCCCACATTCTCTTCGCCTCGCTCCCTGCCTTGCCTCCTATAAGGCGCTTGTCAAAACCCTCCTCTTCGGCCACCTTCCCTGACCCCGACGTCCAACTTGTATAGCGCCTTGGGATGTCCTCCCGACTTGAAAGGTGTTGTACATACGTTTTGATGCAGATTTTATTTAACCTCCACATATAGTTAAGCATTGTCACCATTCAGACAAGCTGGAAGATGTCCTCCCCATCCCCCTGGCTGGTTGGAGCAGATCTTCAGGGTTTTCTTCTCTGACAGATTGTTTCTAGTCTTTTGTACAAAATAAAGTTTGCATCATATGCTTCTCAATTAGTTTGATTGTTTTAGTATGTTTTCGGGTTAGGGTAAAGGGCAAAGTTTGCAAGAGAGATGTTGAGCATTTTGCTGTCTAGTTTTGCCTGAGTCAGATTCCCAGCTGTAGTTGATGAGAGGATTTGACTTAAACTCTTCTAGCAAATAACGCAGTAACGCATTCATGTCCTTGGTCCTGTTGCTTGTCATTGTTGCATTGTTTTGCTGTTATATCAAGTGTGTTCCATACAAGGATTAATAACTTGGCACATTTGACTAATTTCTGGAAAAGATCCTTCAAAACGTCCAAGCTCAACTCATCCTGGTTCAAGAAAGTAATCTACAGCCCACTGGTTGGAAACAGAATGAAGCTGAGACCAGCGAGCATTTGCAACAAGGGTGCACAACTGTCGAGAAAGCAGTAAAGGGGCCTACCTATCCCATTCATTTCCACTGCATTGGTCACAAATTATCCACTCCTTTAGATTCAAGTATTCAATGAGTTTGACTTCATTAGTCAAATATTGACAGTGGCATAGAAGGCAGAGTGTTCCAGTCCCTAACCTTTTCCCAGGTAGATGTGTTACCTCCATTAACTCTGCTTCAATGCCACTTGAAGCACAAACCTCAAACTGTTGTGAGTTGGTACCAAATCAAACCTTCACTGGCTAGGTATTTGTCTCTTAGCATCTCATCACTAACATCAACACTACTCAGGAAGATGCAAATCCAAGGAACCTTTTCCACTGAAGGATGACTTTTTAAAAAATATATATTTCTCCCACTTGATTTCCATGGGTTTTGAAGCTCTTTCATAAAAGGAGCTACCTGTTAGTTAAGCCTTTTACACGCACTGAACAAAAGTGCTTCACAGCTTGAATAACAATCATTATTATTCTATCACTTCCTCTCCAGCTTTCTCCTTCCCTCTCTCTGAGGGAAAATAACCACATGACAATTTGACCACATGTGAATTTTGATTTAGATGCTTATACACTAGTGTTAAATAGCTCCTTTTCTCAGTTTGGAACAGTTTTGAGTTGTGATTTGGAAGTTTGCCTCAGATGTTGACATAAACCGAGAGCCCGAAGTATAGAAATGATTCTGGCCAGTAATTTGTAATATTGTTCATTTATTGTCATGCTTTTTTGTTTAAAACAGTTCTGCTTCAATTTTGATTTTAGTTGATTATCTTTATATAGAGAAAAAGGTGCTAAATGTAGCATCTTTTACATGCAGGAGAACTTAAGAATTGAATTCTCTAGTGAATGAAGAGTTTTCCACGCAGTAATCCATTCACTTCATGTAAATAAAGGAAGCCAGGTGCAATTTGTGCATGTATATCTTTATTGTGTGTTACTGTAAATGTCAGTGCATTGTAGTGGTAGAGAGTAACTTGTCAGTGAAAGAACTGTTGGTGAAAGTTAAAGATTTTTCCCTCTCTGTGCAAACTGCAAGTGAAATGTTCTTATTTAGACCCACAGAATTGTTCCGAAGTTGCAATGCTCAGTCAGACCAAGGAGCCAAGAATGACATGAAACTTTGGGAGAAAGGGACAATCAAGATGCCATTTATGAATATCCCAGTGCAGAATATCAAAACCTGCCAACCAGAAATGTGGAAAGCAGTTGCTTGCTCACTACAGATTAAGCCATGCCACAGCAAGTCTGGGGGAAGTGTCATCTGCAAGTAAGTTTAAGGCTTCATATAGTAAGTCACCTCCAAACTATAGCACATGTTCCTTTATGTCTTCCTCATTTGTTCAAACATCATATGCAAATAACAATTGTTGTTATTCCTCCAATAATAATTGTTAGTAGGATGGGAGAGTGAAAAGAGAAGGGACTATCGCAAAGCAACAAACATTCTTGTGATTCATGATTACAGCACCCTTGGCTTTTTTTTTTGCCATCACACCAATACCAGTCTTGACTGTTAGCACAGGCCGGGCAGGGAAGGCTTCTGTTTCATTAAAAGTCACTGTCATTTGTATTTTCCATTTTTTTCCAATGTAAAATTTTACCTTGTGACAACGACGACAGCAACAACACACTAAGTGGAGACAAGGGGATTGTCACTGTATTTTATGGTTATTGACTCTAACTACATGTAAAAGTAGCTCACAACTGCTGGACTCGAATGAGGCTTGATAATTGGGTATCAGCCCTAAGTGTTAATTGAGCACCAGTATAAAGTTGGGGGCTAGTGAGAAGGGAGGGAAGTCTGGAGGAGACTGATATTAAAAAAAAGTAGAGCTTCCTTATCAAAATAAACCTTTTCTTTGTTAAAACTGTTGTTCAAGTTTTGTTTTCTGACCCACATCCTCTTGCAGACCTCCACTCAGTCTTCATTGATTTTTCTCACTCAGTAATTTATTGGACTTCAATATTCATCCAATAAAGCCCACTCCAGGCAGTTCAGTTCTGATATACTCATCCTCTCAAAATGGGTAATTCCATAAAAGTTTTAAAAGATTTCAATGAATATACCAGTTCCTTCCCAGTGACTGATGTTTGCTGGCAATGGAAATTTGAGCAATTTCATCCATCAAGTATAAACTAGTGCTACTCATCCATTGTAGCCAAATGCTCTAATCCCAATTCCCTGCTCTTTCTTTGTATCCTTTTCTACTGTGCTCTTCAAATAATTATTAAATTCCCTTTCAAATGTTATGTTATGTCTCGGCCTCAATAGTCCCTTCTGCTAAAGCATTCTATTCTGATAGGCCTCTGTGTGAATAACAACAGAAAATTACATTATAATACCTTTCACGTCGGGAGGATGTCCCATGGTGTGAAGGTTTCTACTAACCTCCCTTAACTCTTTCAGTGACATTGCTGAGTACATGACTGCTTATTACCGATTCACCAGCTATTAAGAATAAACTTTGGCAATTACATTTTCAAAACCATTCAGAATGTTGAAGGCCTCTATTAGATCCTTTCTTAACCTGTTCAGAAACGGACCTTATTCTCCTAACTTAACACCTCATGCCTAGTACAATCTATGAACCTTCCTCAGTACCATTTCCATGGCTCTGATGTCGTTTCTGAACCTTTCCATCAATTCAGTAATTCACTCCCATCCGTTATATTGCTCCTTTATATCTTTATTTATCCACTCTTTTGGATGCAATTACATATTGGAATTTGATTGCCTTTTTACCGCTATTTTAGTAGAACCTAATTTAATCATTCGTGGATGTTCATGTTCATTCTTGTTACAACAATCTATTTCAAAGGTCAGACTGTTTGGACATTCTTAGGAATTGTGGGGATCACAGTAAATTTCCAGATGAACAGACAGCAGAAACCATCTGCGATCTTTTGTCACCTAGTGATGATTCTGAGTACTGCATTCCACTATCAAAGTATCTTGGTATGTATACTGTCATTTTTTTCTGTGGCAAAATTATTGCACATCAAACTGTCAACATTTTATGCAGGTTTAAATACACCTGAAGCAAGCAAGCTATTGGGTTTTGAATGTAACATTATGTAGGAGGGAATTTCATTGAATTTAATGAAAGCAATTGTAATGACTAATAATTATTGTATGAATTACTTACAATTTGCTTTCAATTAACTGTATAATATTCATGATTTAATTCAATAATCCATTAATTCAGAATCTTGCTCAAAAACAACTCTGAAATGAATATTTTTTTAATTGGAGCAGGTGTTTTAGTGAGATAAATGTATGCTACTTTTGAGAAATAATTACTGATTGGAAGGTTTTCCATATAATGTTAAGTAAAATGAACAGTTTTTCACAGATGTATCATGTTGATTCACTATTGCATATCTCCACAGCCCCAAGTCCTTTGGACAGCATTATTGAAGAGGTAATCCATCCTTGCAATCCCAATCCCTGTGCAAATAACCAGGTGTGTGAAGTTAATCGAAAAGGTTGTCTGGCAGGACAGGAATGCCTTCCTTTTCTATGTGTGCAAGGTGAGGAGCAAGTTGCAAACACATTTCTGGTGTCTTTCTTGACTTTGCTTTCTATTTATATATTTATATATGTGAAACATTATTGAACACAGTTGTATACAAATGTTTTCATTCACCTAATAAGAGCCTGCAGACAAGCTTCTTAACCATCTTCAACACTTGCCTTTGCTGGCCATCTTCATGATCAGGTTTGCCTCTCCTGGACATCAACTGATTATCTACATTGTAGCAAAAGACATTGCTGCAATGTTAACCTACAGTAATTAGAAAAGATAAATTATTTGCTCACCTTTCATGAATGTAGAATTGCTCTTTGAATAATTAGGCACATAATCCGAGGAAAGTAAAAATATGCAATAGGAAAAGTCAGTGCAATAAATATCCCAGAAAACATATACACAGGAACATTGTGTAGTCTTTCTTGTCTCTATTTATTACATTTGCCTCTCAGAAGGATGCACTCAGTCCTTTGAAGGAATGCAGGCAATTTTAATGTACGTGGCATCCAACTTTGAAGAACAATGACTGCTACATCTAAAACTGAATAATGCGCATACACAAGTATACACACACATATGGCTGCTATCTGAAGAGACTATGACAGAAAAGTATTCCTTTTCAGAATTTTAGCTGTAAGTAATTCTGAGATGGCATGCATTCTGTATAATAGGCTTCACACGAGATTAACCTCAGTTATTGATGTCCGAAGCAGTCTCTCTGTTCTTAATCTTTAAAAATATTGTCTTTTTCACCTTCATGCAGTATATTATTCACTTAGAATTTGTTTTGTTTACCTTGTAGCAATTTAAGCATTTGCAAAAATTGTAGCTCTTTGCATTTTTCCAAATCTGCTTCCAATTTCCAAAGTTTGAATTTCAGAGTGCAGTTTATTATTTTTGTCAGGATGTGGGCTGGTTAACGCTTTTTTGTCAAAACCCATATTATTGAATACACATCTGGTCTCGAGTACCACATTTAAATGTTGGACATGCTGCTTTTTGAATAACTCATCCTTCGGATGAGATATTAAACCAAGGTCTGTTTGCCTGTTCAGAGTAATGTTAAAGATCCCATGGCACTATTCGAAAAGAGAAGAGAATTCTCCTGGTGTCCTGGCCAATAATCCCCTAAATAAAATTGGTCACTCACTCCTTAGCTGTTTGTGGGACATTGCTGCGCGCAACTGACTGCTGCATTTCACCCACAAAATAAAGTCAACTCACTTATATCCTGTGAAGTGCTTTGAGGCGTCTGAATGACTTGATAAGGCGCTATATAGAATGCAAGGATTATTATTAAGTGTAAGAATTGCATAAAAACATCAAGAGTAGCTCAGCAGGAGTGGCTTAAATGCTGTGCCAAGGCTACCCTTGCTCAATCTTTTTCTATAACCCATTGTCATGAAAGGAGCTGGTGTGACGGGTAACATTGTATAACCAATCTTTGATCTGGATTCTGTGTATAGTCAAGATTCAGATGATGCTCAACTGGGTGCATCAGTTGACTTCAACTCTATCATAACTTTGGTGTTAGCAGGTTCCAAATAGTTTTGATACTACAAGTTACTGGAACAGAGCACTCAGTACCTTTGGGTTACTGACAGCTTCTCGGGGTTTTAATGTAAGGTTTGAAACAAAGCTGAGGTTCAAGCAGAACACTGAGATTGTGTACTTGCTGAGTTAGCTGGATTGGCCAACCACTGTGATTGGTGCTATATCAAATGCAAGGATTATTATTAACTACCCAGAAAAATATGACGGTCGTGTTCCAGGTGTGCATTTGCTGAAGATTTTGTTGCAGGCGTGAAGCCAGTTAAGCCATAGCATTGAACTCACTTAGTCTCCTGGAAGAGTAGGGTTCTTCATTCCTACATTCTCCATACATTGCAAGATTAGGTAACACTAGATTCAAGCTGTTGGAAATTTCATGGGGGTACTTCCCTATATCATATCTTGATAGTTCAATGGTTAGAGCACTCGCCTCGCAAGCGAGAGTCCTGGATTCTATTCCCGATAGGGCGAAATGTTGGACAAGTTTCCTTACTCCACACACCTGTTTACCTAGCAGTAAGTAGGAACCCGGTTGTTAGTTGATTGGTGGATCGCTTTTCCGGGGATAATAATCCTTCAAAAAAAATAATAATTTGGTCACTCAATCCACGACTGTTTGCAGGACACTGCTGTATGCAATTGGCTGATGCATTTCGCCCACAAAATATACAGTCAATTCACTTAACAGTATATTCTGTGAAGCTCTTTGAGATGTCTAGAAGACGTGAAAAGTGCTATATCAAATGCAAGGATTATTATTATCTTCTAAATCGTGTTTATAAACCAGGTTTATAGACCAAGTTAACTTTTCCCATACTTAGTTTCTTTTTCCTCCACTGTCGATCAGTTAACAGCCATCAACCTCTTGGAAGGGGAAGTTCCTTTATGCCTTCCTGGCCTTTTTATCTTATCCAGGATCATTTATAAGACCTGTATACAGGATTCAGCAGTCATCTTGCTGACTCCATGCAGACCCAGGTGCTGACATATTATTGATTGAAGAGTGAATTAAAGGCATTTTAGCTACAGCACTAAGCGATAGAGGAGTGGAAGCTTGGTCCTTCTCATCCTGAGCATTGAGCCTACATTTATCTTGGATCTTGATGGGGCTGGCCTAACTAGGCAAAGGTTTCTCTCTTGTTAGCACGTTTCAAAATGCCTTTATAATGCAAAATGAAAAATATTAGATTGGCTTCAGTGTTGTGACAACCTGGCCATTTTGACCATTTGCAATTCCTATTTACTCAGTCTTGCTTGTGCCCCCTTGAGAATGTGTGTAATTGTTGTTCGTGCTTATTTCATGGTTGTGGCTGTGTTCATTTGTTGGCAATCCAGATTCATGAAAATAAAACAATTTATATGGGTGTTAATTCTAGAATTCTGCTCTGGCATCAACTTGTTTTAATTAAACTTATTGCAGTTTACAATTTCCTGTTGCCTGCACTTTCTTACTGTAAAGGTTGCTATTCTTGTTTTTATTTCAGCCATGAGACTAATAACCTTCTTCCTCTACTAGTTGGCAGCCTTGTGTTGTTTGGCACGCAAATTACTGCATGATTCACTTTTTGCTGAAAATTTAACCCAAGTTTCATTTAATTTAGGAAATAATGGTGCTACAGTGCAGTTTCCTTTTCTTCTTTAAGGAAGGGAGAGGTGGGTCTTTTGCTGTGTTGACAATATTTATATTCCATGCATACAAAGTCATTCATCAATCTCGACATTAGGTTACTTTTTTTGCAAAATGTTCAGGAAATCCATCACATGTTTATTTGATTCTTAACATCACCAGATCAGCTGTAGAATAAATTGTGTTAGTACTTAACTGTTCTGGAACCAGGGGTAACCACTTCAGCCATTATTCATGAGGCTTACTCAGCAGTCTTGGTAGGAACAGCTACAAGGAGTGATGTAATGTGGTTTTATTGTTAGGATGGAGTTGTTCAAACTGATGAAAAAGTTTGGTACTGTGCTCTGTACTAGCCTTAACATTAGTTCAGGTCAATTGGCATCTCAAAGAGGAAAAAAAAGTTAGGGTGTTCACAGGTATACAACATTTTAAATGGTATTGAAAAAGTAGACCCAGAACAATACTTTAAGATGCACCAAGACAGTAGAACAAAAGGACATGGATTTGCAAAGGGCAATTTCAGGTTTTTCTTTACCCAGAGGGTAGTTAATGACTGGAATAGATTGCCAGGAAAGGTAGTTGAGCCCACGACACTGGACTTGTTTAAAAATAAAACAGCTTGATGCATTGATTGGAGAATGGTAGGCTGGGTGTTCTGAAAGGATAAGATCAGATGGGCTCAAGGGCCATCCAAACAAATTTTGTGATTATCCTAGATATGAAAGATTTTGCTCAAATATGATAACATTTTAGGCATCATTCCTAATGTAAAAGATGATACCCGAAAATTTAAATGTTTGAGGAACAAGGGTTTGAGTACATAATGATAATAATAATCTTTGCATTTGATTTAGGTCTGAGTCATGTTGTTCAAATGTCTCAAAACGCTTCACAGAATATATTATAAAGTGGATTAACTGTATTTTGTGGACGAAATACAGGGCTTGAATCACAATCTTCTGACTAATAGATGAGAGCGTACCAATAAGGTCAAGTTCATACAATGACAGCAAATTATTACCTAAATAGTGCAATACCAACAGTAATGGCTCACTGGAATAGTGCAAAGTATTTAGTGATATTAGATCACACAGAGAAATCCAGGTGGTCATTGACCTTTGGTGAATTTTTTTTCTAAAAACAATGTCTTGATTATTGGTTACAATCAAGATTTCTTGATGATCTGGCCTAAGTGTTATCTTGATCCCTGTTGGTGCTGCACTTTGACAATGGTAGTTGTTTGTTTTGCTTCCCTACATCTGACAATCTACTAGCTGAGTTATCGAAGGCTCACGAATTGAAAAGCGCAGTTCAAATGCAGCACTTAGTCAGTACTGAAAATCCATGGTCATTGTAAACCTACTGTAAATGTACTACAGACCCGCTTTGCTGGTTGCCAAGTGGACACTAAAGTGACAGTACTATTCATAAAGAGTTTGATGAGATTTGATACAAATCAGAGTCCTTAAAGAAAACAGAGAAAATGGTGCGTATTGTGATCCCAGCCCTCCTACTCCATTGCAGGTTTTAGAAACACCACGTGGGACATCTCTTAAAAAATGGCAACACTTGGCAATGCTACAATGGAAACGGAAGCATTGAATGTGAGATGAGGAATAATATTAGGGGCCACAGTACAAAATAGGTTATTGATGAGCAGTAGATCAGAATATAAGGATACAGAGTAAGAATATAGGGATGTTCTCGTAAGCTGGTCTTTTTATAATTTAAAAACTATACACGAGCACAGCATTGTTTACTTTAAATTGGAGATGACTGTTCTCTTAGCGTCACATTCGTGCAAAAATCTGTATACGGAAAACCCGAAACCTATTGGTTACTAAACAAAAATGCATTTTATTCACTTCAGGGTGCAAGTTAGGAGAGGCTTCAGACTTCCTTGTTCGCCTGGGTAACCGCATTCAGCTTCCTGTGACAAGTGGAGAAATGGGTTGTTATAAAGTGTGCACTTGTGGACCAAGTGGACGGCTGGAGACTTGCATGGAAATGCCCTGTATTGATGTACAAAAAACCTGCATTGTAGGTGGTCAAAGAAAAAGTAAGCACTCTATCTTATTTATCATGTTATTCATAAATATTGCAGGATGCTAGTAAAGGCACTAAAATACTGAGTACTGAGAATGATCCAGAACCAGAATTATTATTGTATCAATACTATTTGCAGCTAGATAAGAAAAATTCAAAAATTTGTTTTTTAAAACTATGGCTGAAGTGCTACTACTTTTAACTGTAACTTTAAAGTAAGCATAATTCATATTGCATGATTTCAGCTCAACTGTGAAAGTGAAAGGAGCAAAAAAATGTGATTATTGTTATTGAAGTTTATTGCATATTCTTAGTTGTGTAGTCAAACTATCTCTGGCTTAGAATAGCACAGTTTCTCTCTTTTCTCTTACCAGATCATGGAACGTCTTTTAGAGTGGATTGTAACACGTGTTCATGTTTTGCTGGGGACCTGAGCTGTTCAAGCCGCCAGTGTTTAAGTGAATACAGTTCTCCAGAGGATCGGAACATGTTCACAGGTCAGCCTGTTGCATTTAATTCGCTGCCACAAGTTAATCCAGAAATAAAAAGATTTTCTGATAGTTTTTGGGCTTTCTATAAATAATTATTTTATTTTATAGCTGGAAAATTAATGTTGAAATACTCTATGCATTTAGCTTTAGCACCTACCAGGAATGGTTCTCCAGGAACGTTTCATTGGTCATCCGGGTGTCTGAGACCTTGGAAAACACATCACAATGCTTAAGAGTATCCAAACCAGACAGAGTGCCACATATGTATGCCATCTACACATTTCCCTGTGACTGCACGCACTATCCCTGGAGAGATTCACAATGCTTACCTAATTCTGGAAAGTGTTGGGTGCACATTGGCAAGAGCCAAGGCTTGGGGACCCCAGAATGTGTGGTGAGGAACTGCTGGGGTTTAATCAGCTAAGTCCATACCTTGCCATTGAGAGCACTGTTTGCCATACTTCCTGCTACTTTACCAGTCAGGATCAAGCTACCTGTTAGGGCTTAATCTTGCAGGGTTAACGGGAAGAATCCCTGACCTAGTCACTGTTCTGCACCTCAAAGTCCATCAAAAGGCCTTAGCTGATGACCTGTCATAAGCAATCCCTTCACATCATGCAGACCTGTCTGTCTCTGATCCTCCCACAGAAAATCAACTCGATTCTGATATTTCATGGTTGTATGAAGTGCTCTATCACTGGTTACATTGGGTATTGTCCATGTTCATGTATGTCAAAGCCTTCCCTCCAAAATAATATCTCAGGTAGTTTAACCAGAGCGTTTTATACTCTAGTGATTTTTATCATGTTGGGAGCTCTTCTTCCCCACCCTTAAGGTCTAGTGTATGGCCCACAATCATTGAAAGCCTGTCCCCTTATATTGAGTTATGATAGCTTCTCAAGGCACTGTCAGGAACAAGGAGAGGTTTTGTGAAGCTCGAGTTGAAATAACCCTTTGCTTCAACCAAGTTACTCAAGGCAAGTTATTGAATCCCCCGTCATCTCCCAACAAGGGCAGAAAAGAGAGCGAGTACATGGCAAGCTCTCCCTATTTAGAAATGTCCTCAGGCCTTAGCTGTGGGGCTACTGTGCAGTCTGTCAATTGTAAGTGATCAAGTCCAGCTCTTCAGACATCAATACCTTTTCTAGTTGAGATAAACCCGCACCTCTGATGGATGTAATAACTGATTCTTTTAAGTGGGGAAATAAGTTAATGTGTATCAAGATAACTGAAGGAAAAAATGTTCACTGAGAAAATTGTATTTGTTCATAAATATTTTCGCAGGACTTCCCTGTAACTGTGCTGACCAATTTGTACCAGTCTGTGCCCTTAATGGCCGCACCTACCCAAGTGCCTGCATTGCCCGATGCGTTGGACTCCAAGACAATCAGTTTGAATTTGGATCTTGTGCCTCCAAAGCCCCTTGCACTCCTAATCGATGCCCCAAAAACGAAAGGTATCTGAATGTTTTGTTCTGTAAACGGACCACTTGAAATATAGTCATACATATATAACATCTTACAACAGCAATGTTAGATCATTCTGTTTTCGTACCCTTATGGTCATTTTGTTAATTATTAATTTTGTGAGGACTGCAAGCGGGTCCCTGTTTGTTTGGTTTGTTACTGTCACTTAGGTATTTCCAGCAGTGTCATTTTCTTCTTTGGCACTATTGCGGTTTCCAGCTTTCGAATGTCAACCACCACTTTCTTGGTATTTTGCAACCGAAAAGGCATTTCGTGAAGTAAACTCTTGTTTACTGGTGTTGTCCTGTACATACTTCCTATACGGTAAATATCGTTATGCTGCTGACTTCAAGATTTCATTCTGCTTTTTCAGTAATTTTATAAAATGATCATAATATTACCAGAATTGAGCGTATTGTTCAGCTTTCCATTTCTTTCAATCAGCCATTCTCTACAAATGTGACCCAAGAGACAGTGACAGAAATTGATAATCTGCAGGTTTGATAACTCCTGCCTGTGTTCCTTTTCAATGAAAACCAGCTTCTTGGCTGGTAATCCAGTTCCATTTTGAATGATTCCCTCGATCCAACCTCAACAATGTCACAATCTCTCTCATTGTGAATGTCATCAGTCTTCCCCAAACAAATGAGACAAGTGACTAAATGCAAACATTTCAACACATAGTCCCTTTAAGGCCTTCATTGCAGCCTTGAGGGCCATGTGATCTTCCTCCAGGCTTTAACAACTCATTCTAGATTTCTCAGTTCTTTAATGGAATGACAACAAAAGAAGATGATTTCCAAGCATGGGTCAGGGACTGACATTATACTTGTAGGGTGAACTCCATTCAAGGAATGAAAACAAATATAATCTTACATGCTCAACGTAAATATTTACAGCACACAATTCCTTTTTGCACTACTGCCTTTTCCAATAATTCCACTTTTCAACATTCTACCAATATGGTTTTACTTCTTGGATCCTCTCATTCTCTACTGTTTGAGCAAAAAAGGCCAATTTAACCAGCCCTTTTTCGTAAGTACAGTGGAGTCTCATGCGCAGCAGCACAAAGTGGTGTCATTGTGTACCTAATGACGCAGAAGTCGGACATTTTAGCGCGAAAGCTGTGTGGCATATAGGGAGGGGGTGGACAGTGCATTTGAGTAATGAATGGGATCAACTCTTCAACCATGTTATAACCAAAGTCAAGCTTTAAAGAAGTAGATTAAAACACTGTATATTCTCTCATACCCAGAATCATCCTAATGAATCCAGACTGTATACTTTCCATGTTTATTCCTGTAATGGTGGATCCAAAACTGAACACAGTACACCCAACTGCAGCTCAACCAATATCCTATACAATTCCAACATAATTTACCTACTATTCCTTCTCAATAGGTTTTTATAGCTATCATTCCATCTCATTTTTAGGTATTTATATATTTTTACCCCCAGATCTGGGTGCTCTTCCACTCCATCGATTGCTTTACCCATCAGGCTACAATCACCCAAACTATTCTTCTCAAAATGTAATGTTAGTTGGTAGCACTCTCAAATCTGAGTCAGAAGGTTGTGAGTTCAAGCCCCCACATTTGGACTTGGACTCACATAATTTAAGATGACACTCCTGTGCAGTGCTGGGGAGGGCGAGTTCCATTATCGGAGATGCCGTCCTTCAGATGAGACGTTAAACTGAGGTCCTGTCTGGCTGTTTAGGTTGACTTTAAAGATCCTGTGACTCTTTTCAAAAGGAGAAGGGAGTTCCCTGATCATCAATCCCCCAAATAAAATTGGTCATTAATTTAATGGCTGTTTGTGTGACATTGCTGTGCATAATATGCACTTACAAATGCAGTCACTCCACAGTAAACCTTGTGAAGTGGCTCCGCAGCACCAGCCAGGTAATGTGGAGTTCTCTACAGCTGCCCCCTCCTTGTGTGGCCCACTGTGATGAGTCACATATTTCCCAACTACCACTTCCTGCACATGCTCTTGACTGCAGCTGGAACAGTTGAGCCTTTTTAAACCCACTTTGAGTGGTCACCAGTGGCATACAATTGACAATTGCATAATATGATTGAAAGGGAGCCAACTATACACCTGAAGGCTTCCGGGTGGGGGAGGCCTATCGCAATTGCCAACCCCCCCCAGTACCTCGGGCATTGCACACATATCCTCGATTTAACATCTCACCAGAAGCATGACACCTACTAACAATGCAGCTCACCCTTAGCACTGCATTGGAGTGTCTGTCTGGAGTTCAAAATCCAGGTGTGGAGCTTAAATCTACAGCCTCTGTCTCAAAGGTGAACTGAGTGTGCTGATACCTGTCCATATTAACATCCAAATCATTCAAACAAGTTCAAACAGACAGCAACGTGTCTTTCAGTCTCACACATGTAATTCCTTAGATTTCGTAGCCTAATACAAAATTACATTTGTAAAGCGTCTTTCATGTTGGGAGAAGATCCCAAGGTGCTGAACAGTCGGGGATTAGGCGGGGGGGGGTTGCGATCAGGGAGGGTGGAGGGCGGGCAGGGTAGGGGTACGAGGGTGGCCGAAGGCAAGGTCGAAGAGGAGGTTCTTGAGGAGTTCCTTGAAGGAGGCAAGGGAGGGAGCAAGGCGAAGGGAATGTGGGATAGACTTCCAGAGGGTGGGGCAAAGAGGCTGAGGTCGATGGTGGGGCAAAGAGGCTGAGGTCGATGGTGAGGCGGGCTGGGCAGAGGATATTGGAGCAGGCCAGAGTCTCCTGGGCGGAGTGAGCGGACAGGTTGATAAGTGGTTAGCAGGTCGGTGAGGTAGGAAGGAGCAAGGCCATGGATGGCCTTGAAGATGAGGACGAGGATTTTGAACTCGATCCTCTGAGGGATGGAGAGCCAGTGGAGCCGGGCGAGGGTGGGTTGTGATGGGTTCACGGAGCCTGGTGCAGGAGAGGACACAAGCTGCAGAGCTCTGGATGATCTGCAGCTTGTGGAGGGAAGAGTTGGGAGTCGACAAGCAGGGCATTGGCATAGTCGAGCCTGGATGTACTGATGGGATATATGAGGGATTCAGCGGCCTGAGAGGTGAGGCAATGGCGGAGTTGGGCAATGTTGCGGTTGGGGGAAGGCAGAGTGGATTATGGCACGGATATGGGGGAGAAAGTACAGTTGAGGGTCAAACAAGACGGCTAGGTTCCTGTCTGGCTCGGTGAGGTGGAGTGTGCATCCGTGGATGTTGATGCTGCCAGTGCCTAGGTACGGAGGCGCTGTCGCGAGCCAATCAGGATGGTCTTGCTGACGTTCAACTATGGAAAGTTGGCTTTACAAATGGTTTTGTATCTCTCTGCATAATTCAGGATAAAATGTACAGAGGGTTTTCTGATTCTGGAAGCTTACTATGCGCTAGGTTACTCAATATCTAATGCTAGATCAATAATAATAATTGAATTATCCAATAAAAAAATTAAAAGTTGAATTATCCATAATAATTCAATCTGTTTGAATTTGGGTTGAAGAAGGCAGAAAGTGCACATTCTGGAGCTGTTAAAGTCAATGTTTGTTTAAAAACAAGATAAGTTTACCACAGCCACCGTCTAAGACCACTAATGTATGTCTTTGGCAAAATATGGTTGGAGGCCACCTGTAGGCAATTATTCCAACAGTAATTTTGGATTTTTCTATGGAAAAATAAGCACCGATGATGTGTGAAAGATGGTCAGATATTTTCTGTTGATCAACCTCAATATAAAGCCCAAGGTCTGAACATGATATAACAATGATACACAAGAAGGTCATTTGGAGTTTTGGAGACTGTGAGCCCAGAGTTGTTTGTTATTACTCATGAGAGAAGTACAGGTTCTCAGCATTTTTTTAAGAGTTGTAGTGATCTAAAAGCTTGCGAGTTGTAAGACTGGGGAGACTGCATAGGGAGGTTCCATAGTCTTAAAGTTCTAGGAGGAGGAGCTTATGCAGTTGGCATATTTACAATTTGGGAGGAACAAATGATTCATTAAAAGATTTCATTATTGTTTTAAAATGGAATTAGATAAATACCTGCAAAAGAAGTATATTAATGCAAGCATTATTATTAAAGAATAAGGGGAGCAAACAAGAGAGTGTAACATGGGGGGAGAGAAACACCAGCAACTCTCAATGGGCTGAATTGCCTGTTTTTGTGCTGTAACGTTGTAGGAGATGTACAAGAAAGGGAGAGCTAGTATAGTTAAATATAGTCATTTTGGCTCACATCAGGAGAGTTTCTTTAGTTTCTGCACCAGCTACAGATGGCACTCATTAGCTACTCCCTTTAGTGTTAGCTGGTAATATTTCAATTTCTTTCTTATCTTCCTTATGTTTCCTGTTTTCTATATTGTTCCTTTCTTTTTATAGCACTTCTTTATTTTCATACTAATTCAACTTTCTTTGTTTAAAATGCTTTGCACTTTCTGCTTTGAATGCCTATTTCCCCACCTAGCTTTCCTTATTCTGTCTCTCTTTCAACCTTACTAGTATAGGGTAGGATTCACAAAATGGCAGATTGAATATCTGGAAAAATGGAACACTTCCACATCTGGAACATTTCTATAACTGGTCAGGATGCTACCTAAGTATTTGAACTGTTGGACAACTGCAAGTTTCCTGCCTTCGATAAAGATTGAGGTGGTATGTACTGAAGGTGTGGAGCTGATTGAAACATCACTTTGGTTAAATCAGATTGATGAGCCCATAGTTGTCAGCTATCGACCATTTTCTGCAGGTCTTTGGCACTGTGTACCATTAGTAAACAGCAAATTCACTGAGACTTTTGCTGTGATCTTTGTTACTTTTTTTAAACAATTCATAAAATCATATGAATGGTTAGGATGAAGAAGGCCTTTTTGGGCCATTCAATCTCATCCTTCCAGAACCCCCCCATACTATCGTCTCCTCATCACAGCATCACGCTACTTTTTAAATGAGTCCAGTGACCTGGCCTCAACCACCGTTTCTGGTAACCTGCTCCAGTCATTGATTACCTCCTGGGTAAAGAAAAACTTCCCGGTGTTTGTTCTGAAGTTGGCCTTTACAACTGAGGCTGAACAGATTGTAATCAAATGTTAATGCGGGAATTGTAATTCTTAGTACATGTATTGATTGGAGTTTATTTCAAGCGTTTCCAACATAGAGAAATTTCCATGAATGTTAATAGAGTTGTTATAAATGTTAGTTGGTAGCAGGTGCACTCACCAACATGCCTGGATTTGGATGCAAACATACACTATCCTCCTATGTTTTTCTGATCACTTTCAACACAAGACATAATTAATCAACAATGGGCAGAAGCCTTTCTGAAAACTCTTGTGTTATGGCCAGTTTTGCTTCTATTTCTTTAGCAGAGTTTCTTTCTATAATTCTGATCTAAAAGCGAACAAAATGCTCAGTCGAATAAATTGAAAATACTCTGTATAAATAACTCCGCTCTCTTTCGGTGGAAATAACTTCTCCAGAAAAACGTTCGAACACAGGATACTCTGCACATGTCCAGAACTTATACAGATAGGTTCCATAGTGAGCAAAATCTTTTGTAGAACACACGCACAGTTTTATTCACAATTGTCTAACCTAAATTTCACACAGTTTTATTCACAATTGTCTAACCTAAATTTATCTGCTTTTAGTACTTCTGTTATTGAACTCTGAAAGTGATATTTGTTAACTTTTAAATTGAATTTCCTTGAATTTGTGTTTGCAAACAGATGCATCCCTAAGCCAAAGGTCTGTCTCACTGGTATTGATTTGATTGATTGTGACCAATATGAGTGCATCTCCAGACCAGTCAATTGTGAACTGCTCGCCATCGAACCAGTCTGTGACACTGAAAATGTGGAACATATTAATCTATGTGCCTTGTACCAAAGATCCAAAACCTTGTCCTACACTGGCCCATGTCAGGTATGATTAAGCTGGAAATAGCAAAGGCACTCAGTTCATACTGTAAAAAAAATCTGCATGTTGGTATGTACACACAACATCATTTGGTCTGTAGTTTTCCCAATATAAACCTATAATGAAACAGTCACTAGTGTTCTCAATTTGCACTGGATGCACCCTATTGTCTTCCCACAGGAGAATAGTGAAGTGCCTCACAGTGAATCTGCATCTCTAGTATACTTTAAATGCATCAAACGTAACTGAATAAAAGTGGCGTCATTAAATGAAAATATTCAGAATCATTTTACAAAATTATTTCACAATGCCACAGCAATATAAACTCAGTTAGAAATGTTGCAGTCAACACCTGCTTTGACCGATATTTTAATTCCAGTTGTACTTCATTCTTGTCAGTCATCCTCTAATGAACAAGTCTGCATTCAAGACATCTGCCTTGTAACCCACCCCAAAAATATAGACATTATCCTGTTCACCAGGCACCCAGAGCAGGTGACATTGCTATCCTTTTGGCTGTTAAAAATACTTTGCAGCTAGGATATTTGATTAATAAACCTTGCATTTCACAAAAGTAATTTTAAATAGGTGATTTATGTCCATTATGCTGCATAGCACTCCGGCCTCCAACACCTAAAGTATGTTGGCACTTGTTCCTGTTTTTAATATCATTATACCTTAAAGATGATTTCATACCTATTGGAATGCTTATATTTGCAATAAACATTTAAATAAACATTGCAATAAATATAACACTTAAATATTGGTATGTTTGGATGTGGGATAATTTTAACTTTTGAAGTATTGATTTTTTATTGAGGAGCTAACTCTTAATATTTTTATGTGTGTTTTCTTTGAAGGATGTCTGTAGATATGAGGCTGTCTGTGGCCATAATGGTGAAACATACAATAATGTGTGTGCTGCCTATTCGGATCGTGTAGCAGTGGACTACTACGGGAGTTGTCAAGCTGTGGGCATTCTCTCGGATTTCAGTTCTCACCCCGAGTGTTCGTCTGTCACGTGTCCATCACTTCCAAGCAGCAGATGCAAACCGGTCACACCACCTGGTAACGCATTTTCCCGGAATTGTTGCCATTGCAGTAACTAGTTTGCAAATTATGGTGAATGTTGACATTTAATCTTAGTATTCCTACCTAGCTTCGATCATTTGTCTGCTGGTGTGGTTCACTGGAAAGTATTTGTAGAATTCTTTCCTATTGAAAAAAAATCTAGAGTTTTACTAATAGTTCTAAATGCATTTAAAACGGTAACCACTTTTTGTTTTTCAGGAGCTTGTTGCCCCTTATGTGCTGGAATGCTCCGTGTTTTATGGAGTAATGATCAGCTGGATAGCCTCGCTAAGGTAACGTATAACTGCAGTTTTCTGCTATTTAGTGCACTTTGACAGAAGTATTTGTGTTGAATCACTCAAATTTTGTTAACTGATGTGCTGATTTACATTTACTGTTTTTTTTTGCAGTTAAATGATGCAAGACCAGTGTCCGTACATGACATCCTCCACACTTTACGCCTACACATTTCAGTGCCTCAGTGTGATATTTTTGGATACCTAAGTATAGAATCTGACCTTGTGATCCTCATCATTCCAGTTGGTCAGGATCCAACAACATTGCAGGTAGGTTTTAAAACTTACTATATCTTGCATTGTTTTGATTTAAATTTTCAGAAGGTTTTGCACAATACAATGAAAATCATAGAAAGGACACAGTGCCAAAGGCGCAGTATTAGATTGTATCGGGGAGCCATCACACCAATCCTTGCCAGGCTTCACTGGCTCCCAATCGTCGAACGGATCGACTTCAAGATCCTCTAACCCGTTTTCAAATCCCTTCATGCCCTCATCCTTACTAATCTGCTTAACCCCCCACTCAACCAACTGCCTCTGCTCGGTTGGCTCCAGTCTCCTGTTTGTCCCCCGCTCCACCATTGGCGGTCGTGCTTTCAGCCATTACGCCCCAAAACTCTGGAACTCTTTCCCACGATCCGTCTGTTGCCCCCCCCCACACACTTTCAAATCCCACCTAAAGACATTTCTTCTTGATCGGGCTTACGGTCATCTCCTTCTCCCTCTGACCCCTAACTCGGGTTCAGACTCTACCACTGTCAAGCGTCTTGACAGTGGTAGAGTCTGACACTGTCACACGGGATGAAACCTTGTGTGAAGGGCGCTCTATAAATACAAGTTGTTGTAAAGACCAGTGGTTTTAGGTTCAAATCATTGTCTATGCTGAGTTTGTTGGTATCCTGCTTGGCATTTGGAATTCTACAGAGCCTACAATGGTGATAGTCCTATCACTGGAACTTGTGGTGCAGGTGTAATCCATTACCTGGGCCAATATAAAAGTGTGATCGCTGCAAACATCCTCTCAGCTCCAACCCGCTATACATGTAGCTTCTGGCCCGCGGGCCTCCCGGCTGTTTAGCTGACATCACTCTGGGCGGGACGGCGCCAGACTTGCATGTGCAGTCAGCAAATGTGTATCTCTGTGCATGTCTGTATGTCTGTCTCTCTCTCCGTTTGTTTATGTCTGTGTCTCCTTCTCTGTGTGTTTGTGGCTGTGCCTGTGTGTGTCTCCCTATGTGTTTGTGAGTGTCTCTCTGTGAGTGCGTCTCTCTCTCTCTGAGAATGTAACTGTGAGTGTGTATCTGTATGTAAGTGTGTGCGTGTCTCTCTCTCTGCCTGCGAGTGTATACGTGTGTCTGGCTCGCTGTCTGTCTGCAGTGATGGACCCTGAGAGCTCCTGTAGCCTCACTGGTTTCCCCTCACCCCCGAAATAAAAAGGCCACTTAGTTAAAGAAGTAATTAATATGTTTTTTGCAACAACCAAATATGTGTTATTTCCTCATGTTCAGTTTTAATGAATAAAGTGAAAAAATGTAGGTTGGTTGTGAAATGTACCTCAATAGCACTAATCAACTCACCACCATTTTCTGCAAAATCTGTCAAAAATTTCCCCGAAATTTTCGGCAGAACTGACAAGTCTCTGCAATTTTGGGCAAACATTTCTGCACTTTTCTATTTGGCCAGCCCATTACACTTTTGTAACTCTTTCTGAATTGCAAACGTTTGTGTTCTTGGGCAAGCCATGAACCCCACACTGTTTCTGGAATAATAATAATCTTTGCGTTTAATATTGCTCTTTTCAGGAGCCCATCTCAAAGCACTTCACATGATTTTCTGTAAAGTGTAGTAACTATATAGTTTGTAGGTGAACATGGCAGCCAATTTGTCCACAGCAATGACCCACGAACAGCAAGGGATAATAATTATAGAAAGTCAGCCGAGTTAAGTTGCAGCACTCTCACCTCTGAGTCAAAAGGTTGTAGATTCACAGCCCATGTCAGGATTTTTAAGCTCATAATCTATGCAGACACTCCAATTCAGTCCAAGGAAAACGCTGCATTGTGTGAGGTGCCGTCGTTCTGATGAGGCAGTATACTGGGATCTAATTTTCTTGTTCAGGTGGTCGTTAAGATCCTATGGCTCTATTTGAAAAGAGATGGGAATTTCTCCCTGTGCTCTGGCCAACAATTTGTGTGTTTGTGTATATATATATATATATATGTTTAAAAAAGTCATTTGCTTCATGGCTGTTTATGGGACATGGCTGTGTGAATGCCGGAGCTTGCTAAGCGGAGGATGCAGACAGGTTAATAATAATAATAATCCTTGCATTTGATATAGCGCTTTTCACATCTTCTCGACGTCTCAAAGTGCTTCACAAAATAGACTGTAAAGTGAATTGACCGTATATTTGTGGGCGAAACGCAGCAGCCAATTGCGCACAGCAGTGTCCCACAAACAGTCGTGGATTGAAAATGACCAATTTATTATTGTTTTGTTTTGGAGGGATTATTATTAGGCGCGTGGAGTAAGGAAACTTGCCCAAGGTTTCACCCTGCCTGGAATTGAAACCAGATATCTCGCTTGCAAAGCGAGTGCTCTAACCACTGAGCTACAGGACTCCACTAATAAGGAGTTAGTAGGTCAAGTGGTAGGAAGGTGAAAAGCCGTGGAGGGCCTTGAAGGTGAGGACGAGGATTTTGAACTCTGTCCTCTGAGGGATGGGGAGTCAGTGGAGCCGGGTGAGTGTGTGGTTTGATGGGGTCACAGAGCCTGGTATGGGAGAGGACAGGAGCTGCAGAGTTCTGGATGATCAGCTTGTGGATGGAAAAGTTGGGAAGGCCAACAAGCAGGGAGTTGGCGTAGTCGAGCCTAGATGTGATGAACATCTAGGGTTTCGGCGGTCTGAGGGGTGAGGCAGGGGTGGAGGTGGGGGAAGGCAGAGCGGGTCATGGCACGGAAAGGATACCAGAGAGTCAAAAAAGACGCCAAAGTTCCGGACTGGCTTGGTGAGGTGGAGTGTGCATCACTGAATGGTGATGCTGCCAGTGCTTGAGGTATAGAGGCGCTGACAGTAGCCAATCAGGAGGGCCTCGGTCTTGTTGACTTTCAGCTGCAGAAAGTTAGCTCTTATGCAGGAAGTGATGTCTGATAGACATTCTGTCAGGACAGCAGTGGTCCTGGAGTCGAGGGTGGAGGTGGAGAGATACAGTTGGGTGTCATCCGCATACATGTGGAAGTTGACCTCATGTCTGCAGATGATGTCACCAAGAGGGAGCATATACAAGTTGGAGAGGACCAAGGACAGAGCCCTGAGGAATGCCGCACGAGACAGTGGGGGCTGGAGGAGAAACTGTTTGTGGAGATGATGTGGATATGGTGTGAGAGGTATGATCTGAAACATTCAAGGACAGAACCATGAAGGTTGAGGTGAGCAGCGAGGCGGTTGAGGAGGATAGAATGGTCAACGGCATTAAAGGCAGCTGCGAGGACAAGGAGACCGAGGGATCCATGGTCACTCATGGACAGAATGTCATTTGTCACTTTGACCATAGCTGTTTCTGTGCTGTGGGCAGCACGGAAACCCGATTGGAGGGGTTCGTATAGGGAGTGGCGGGATAAGAAGGAGCAAAGCTGGGAAGCAACGACTCCTTCAAGGAACTTGGAAAGGAAAGGGAGGTTGGAGATAGGGCAGTAATTTGAGAGTTGGGATGGGTCCAGGGAAGGTTTTTAAGGGGGTGGAAATGGTGCCAGTGGACAGAGAAAGGTCTGTGAATAGAGGGGCTGGGAGGTAAGGAGAGGGGTAGGGTTGGGGTCGAGGGAGCAGGTGGTGGGTCTCATGTAGGTTATATTGGTGGTGAGAGGAGGGGGAGGCGGGTTCGAAGGTGAGATGCGGAGGGGGTAGCCGTTGAAAGGTCAGAGGCGGCAGATTGGATCCCCTCGATTTTGGTATTGAGGAAATCCAGCATGTCCTTGCAGTTGGAGTTGGAGGAGAGGATGGTTGAGATGTGAGAGGGTGGGTAGGTGAGCAGGGTGGTGATGGAGAAGAGGAGCCTGGGGTTGTCCTTGGTCTCAATATTATCTTGGAGTAGAAGGATGATTTAGCGCAGGTGAGGGCAGAGCGGTAAGTTTTGATGTGGTCCAGCCAGGTCTGCCGATGAACTGTTAGATCTGAGCCATGTGCCTTGAGGAAGCGGAGGTGGATGGTGTACCAGGGTGAATTGCGTGAGTAAGAGGTGATTTGGTAGGTGAGGGGGCAAGGCCATTGAGAGTGGTGGAGAGGGAGTTGTGGAGGAGAGTGACCGAGGAGGATAAGTTGGTGTGGGAGAAAGCCTAGAGGGGGAGGAGTTCAGATGAGTCTAAGACAACAGAGAGGGAGTGTGGGGACATTCTTTTCCAGGTGCGTTAGGAGATAGGGGTGGGTTGGGTTGCAGTGGGGAGAGGGATTGAGAGGTTAAGAGAGCTGAAGTAGTAATCCAAGATGGCTTTGTCAGTAATAGTCATGGAGTAAGGGGATCGCACAAGTGAGGACTTGGAGATGAGGGCCACAGCACCACCATGGCAATTAGGTCGTAGGGTATGATGAAAGATATAGCCAGGTGGTTGGCCTCTGTCAGGAGAAAGGTGTCGCCTGGGGTGATCCAGTTTCTGTGAGGATATACAGTCTGCACTTCACAGAAAATTCTGAAACACTTTTGAGGTATTTCAGCATAATAAGATGCTATATCAATAGCAAGAATTATTAGAATGAAAATTATTAAATTGTAACAGAAGTGTTACTTGGTGCGCATTCTTTTTTCCTGCCCATCAAGAAACCAGAAAATACCAATCTTGTTTATTATAATTGGGTAACTTTTCTCTTCACCCCCAATGCTCTTTATCCGCTTCGCTTTTCATCTCCTGCCTCACCCGACCCACCATTGGTGGGCGAGCCTTCTGCCACTCTGCCCCTATCCTCTGGAACTCCATTCCGCAGTCCCTCTGCCTCACCCCTTCCCTTGCCTCCTTCAAGACCCATCTCAAGACCCTCCTGTTCGATCGTGCTTTCAATCATCCTGCTGCACCCTCCCCAATTGCGACCCCCACCTCAGGTCTGAAACACTTGACTGTCCAGCTTCTTGGGACGTCCTCCTGACGAAAACATTGACATTCTTGCCCTCACTGAAACCTGGATCACTCCAGGTGAAACCTTCTCCCTGACAGAGGCCACACCACCCGGCTACGCCTTCCATCATACCCCACGACCTATCCACAGTGGTGGTGGTGTGGCTCTCATCTCCCGGTCCCCAATGGGCCTATCCCCTTACTCCTCTGGAACCTTCCCCACCATCACTTCATCTCTCTTAACTCCTCAACCTTGCTCTCCACCATCACCCAACCCACCTCCATCTCCTACCACTGCTGGTAAAAAATCTCCCATCCCTGGCTACCTTGAAATCATCTGAACTCTTTCCCGTCTGGGCTTCCTCCCGCAATGTCCTATTCTCCTCAGTCACTCTTCTCCACAGCTCCCTCTCCTCCACTCTCGATTCCCTTGCTCTCCTCACTTCCCAAACCGTCTCCTATTCACGTAAGTCACCTTGGTACACCAGCTACTTCTGCAGCCTTAAAGCACAGGTGCGTGCCGCTGAATGCACCTGGCTTAAATCAAACTGAACAGTCCATCGGCAGACCTGGCTGGACTTTATCAAATCCTACCTCTCCACCCTCGCTTTCGCTAAATCGTCATTCTACTCCCAAGACAATCTTGGAAGCCAAGAACAACCCCAGGCTCCTCTTCTCCATCACCAATCGGCTCCTTCGCACACCCTCTCACGCCTCACCCATCCTCACCTCCAATGCCAATTGCAAGGTGATGCTGGACTTCCTTGAAACCAAAGTTGAGGGGATCCACTCAGCTGCCTCTGCCCATCCGTCTATACCATCTCCCCCTCACACTCCAGTCCCTACCCATCCCTCCCTCCATACCTTTGAACCTATCTCTCACTCCTCTCTCACGACCACGATAACCCGCATGAAGCGACCACCTGCTCCCTCGACCCCATCCCTACCCCACTGCTTACCTCCCAGCTCCACCTCCTTGCCCCTCTACTCACAGACATCATAAACCTCTCTTTGTCCACTGGTATTGTTCCCATCCCATTAAAAACGGCCATCATTATTCCTAGCCTTAAAAATCCCTCCCTGGACCCATCACTTCTTTCAAACTATCATTCCATCTCCAAACTCCCTTTCCTCTCCAAGGTCCTGGAACAAGTTATTGTTTCCCAGCTTCACTCCTTCCTCTCCTGCCAATCCCTTCATGAACCCTTCTAATCAGGTTTCCGTGCCGCCCACAGCACAGAAACAGCCCCGGTCAAAATAACAAATGACATTCTGTCCATTAGTGACCAGGGCTCCCTCTGCCTCCTCGTCCTCCTTGACCTCTCTGCTGCCTTCGACACCGTCGACCACTCTATCCTCATCCACCGCCTCTCCTCACCTCAAGCTTCATGGTTCTGTCCTTGACTGGTTCAGATCGTACCTCTCAGACCCTCTCCACTTCATCTCCACAAACGGTTTCTCCTCAAGCCTCTGCAGCGTCTCGAACGGCATTTCTCAGGGCTCTGTCTTTGGTCCCCTCCTCTTCAACATCCATACGCTCCCTCTTGGTGACATCATCCACAGACATGGGGTCAACTTCCACATGTATGCGGATGACACCCAATTGTACTTCTCTGCCTCCACCCTTGACTCCAGGACCACTGCTGACCTGAAACAATGTCTGTCAGACATCAAGTCCTGGATGAGAGCTAACTTTCTTCAGTTGAAAGTCAACAAGACCGAGGCCCTCCTGATTGGCTCCCGTCAGCGCCTCCACACCTCAGGCATTGACAGCATCACCATCCATGGATGCACACTCCACCTCACTGAGCCAATCCGGAACCTTGGGGTCTTGCTTGACCCTCAACTATCCTTTCTACCCCACATCCGTGCCATGACCTATTCTGCCTTCCCCCACCTCTGCAACATCACCTGGTTTTGCCACTGTCTCACACCTCAGGCCGCCTAAACCCTCATACATTCATTCATAGCATCCAGGCTTGACCATGCAAACTCCTTGCTTGTCGGCCTCCTCAACTCCTCCCTCCATAGGCTGCAGATCATCCAGAATTCTGTAGCCAGTTTCCTCTCCCGCACCAGGCTCCATGACCCTATCACCCCCATCCTCGCCCGACTCCATTGGCTTCCCATCACACAGAGGATACAGTTCAAGGTCCTGGTCATCATCTTCAAAGCCCTCCGTGGCCTTGCTCCTCCCTACCTCTTTGACCTCCTAACTCCCAACCATCCTGCTCGCTCCCTCCACTCAGCAGGCTCCGGCCTGCTTTGTGACCCCACATCGCCCGCCCCACCATTGGTGGGCGGGCCTTCTGGCACTCTGCCCCCACCCTCTGGAACTCCATTCCGCAGTTCCTCCACCTCACCCCCTCCCTTGCCACCTTCAAGACCCATCTCAAGACCCTTCTCTTCGATCACCTGCCCTCCACCCTCCCCAGTCTTGACTCCCTGCTCATGTCCGAAACACTGACTGTCCAACTCCTCGGGAAGTCCTCCTGATATGAAGGGCTCTGTACAAATGTAAACGGGGAGAGAGAAAGGACCTATACAAATGTAATTTTGTTGTTGTTGTTTGACAATCATTATTCCATTTGATCTCTATTTAATATTAATATTATGCAGGAAATGCAAAGTAACAGTAATTGCTGTCACAATAGTAGTAACAGTGAAACGTGTTAAAATAATGGCATAGATGTTTAGCACATCTTAGTATAATGTTTGGAGGAATGTTACTAAATGCGAATGATGTTTTGCACTTTTTGGTGTATTCCATTTCAGATTGAAGCTTGCAATAAAGAGGCTGAGAAGATTGACTCTCTGATAAATACTGGTAGTCCAGCATTGATGGCTCACGTTCCACTGTCAGCACTCACCACTTCACAGGTCCAGGTTTCATTAAGAGGTTCTTCTGGGTCTGCAATGACAATCCTTTCTACGACTGCACTTTTACTAAACCTGTTGGTTTCTTTTTCAGGGTTTTTAGGTTTCAGATAGCCATTCCTTATTTTCAATAAGAACAAATTGTGTTTAACTTGATATTAAGTTACAGGTAGAACAACAATCCCCGAAGCGTTGAATACAGAAGATAACAAGCCATCAAACATTCAGCGGTTTAAAACAATTCTGCTGAATGCCNTTTTTTTTGTATCTTACAAATATAAATTCAAAATATATCTTTTGATAGAAACCTTTTTATGAAGGAAATTATATACTTTATTTGAAGGAGTTAATACTGATTAGGATAATATTATAGGTTTAGGACATTTATTCCTTAGAAACGTTTGGTCTTAATGTGCAGTAATCTGTTAGTTTAGTATATGTTGTGTATTATGACCAAAATTTGGGTCACAAAAGAAGTTTGGACAGACAAGATGGCATTGAAGTACTTTTCATGAAGATTTAGAATTTATCATTTCAACCAAAATTCCGATCATTTCGGTTATGTGATTTTTAGTGAGTTATTTTCAAAATATTTAAATCTCAGCAGAAATAGCATTTTCCTAGGAGTTACATATCAAATGGCAACAAAACCTAAAATGAAGCTAAAATTAAATGAAACGATTCCTACCCTGCTCCTGACCTTTAATAAAAATCCACAATTTTTCCCCAAAGCATTTTAAATACAACACAAATCTTTTTTTTCTAAGTCTAGATGCAAATGGTTCTCCAATGAGACTAAGGACAATCAGAAATGATGGAAGGAAAGCAATCAAGAAAATAGGTGTGGGGGGGAAAGAAACAATTAAAATGAAGCAGAGAGAAAGAATTGGCTTTAAAAATTTTACTAAACATACACATTGAGTTCAGGAGCTGCTCACCTGTAGTCACTGAATTAATTGTGTATTTAACAAAGCTACATCTGTTTGATCCTCTATTTCAACTACTTTTGTGCATATTTTTTTCCCATTTTGGACTGTTTTCATTTCATTGTTTCCGTTTCTTTGAAGGTTTGTTTATTTTGTAAATCAATTCAACGTTTTTAGCACTGATGTCCTTTTCAGAAGTCACTTCTTTTGTTTTGTAGTGTAACTGGGAAGTTATTTTGCAAATTTCTAAAGTCTAAAGTAACATTGAAGCAATGTACAGAACTACAGAACATTTCTTCTAGAAAGCATAATGAAGTATAGAATAAGTCAACCTATTTAGCCCATTAAGCAACATGATGAGCAGTTTTGTTTCTATCAAGACTCAACTTAAATACAGTATTTCATTTTCTGAGGGTAGTGCGATGAACGACAAGTTTAAAATTGTAAAATATTTCCTCCAGGCCCTCAAATGTAACTCATCATACCCCCCAATTCATGAGCTCAATTTTACAATCCGTAATATTCAATTCAGTGACCTGTTCCTTTCTTCTGGTGACTTGCCTATTATCCACCCATCATTGCTATTCTGATTCATGCATTGCTTGTTCCTTGGTTCCTCCTTTCAGTGATTGGTGGCTAAATGCCAGCTTTCACAGACTGCTATATAGACTGCACCGCATCTCACCAAATGCTGCCGAAACACTCATTCTCTTTGTTACATCCTGCTTAGACTTGCTCAACTCACTCCTCGCTGATCGCTCTCACATCTCTACCATGAGCTGCAACTCATCCAAACCTCTGTTGCCCACATTCTCACTCGCACCAAATTCTGCACACCCATCACCATAGTCTTCACCAGACTCCGCTGTATCCCAATAGATCGACTTCAAGATCCTCAACCTCACCCATAAATCCATTTCGGACCCTGGAATCTCCTTATCTCTCCTACCCTACTCCTCTGCTCATTTAACTTGGATACGCTGGATGTCCCTGCCCTATCTGTCCTACTGTTGAGCCTTCAGGTTCTGTGCCCTTTATCTCTGGAATTCCCTCCCTCTAACCCCTCCATCTTACCCCCTCTTTCTGTCTTTAAGTCACACCTCAACATCTGCTTCTTTGAATGATCCTAGAGCTACCTCCTTTCTCCCCCAGCTTGCTTGCTGTCTTACTTCATCCTTATAAAGTGCTCTGTGATTACCTGACTTGAAGGGTGCTAAATCAATGCAAGTGGTTATTGCTATTATGTCCCAGACCTTTGGAACTTTCTTCCACAAGCTCTGCCTCTCTCTCCCCCCATCTTCACAATTCTCCTAAAAATATCTACAGTGAAACTAATAGCCCGTCGTGTCAAGGGAAATAGCTCAAATGACTACTTACCAGAGTTGACGAGTTATCCAAAGTACAATATCTCCAAAATACAAAGATCTCAAATAGCCGAGATATTGAGTGAAGGACTAGTTATGTGGGGTTGACGACTAATCTCAGGGGTGAGTTATCAGAGCGTCACTGTATTTGGTTGTGCTCTTCATTAGAATCATTCATTCTCGTTCTTTCTATATCCTTAGTGCACTCTATCATATTTAAGTGCTTTGAGATGCTCCTTTTGTTTGAAAGAGACTCTGCCTGCCGTGAAGGGCGCTATATAAATGCAAGTTGTTGAAAGGTGTGAAAACATAGAATTGAATAAAGTAAAATAATAGGGGCGTTCCCCGATAATGCACAGATCATGGTACAGAGATAAGAGATGAAACAGTTATGGGTTGGCAATTTTGCTTTGCTCTGTCTGAGGGAAATGGAGAAGTTGTGGATGAAAATTGACCCAGAACTCTAGGATTCTTAGAGATAGGGGATGATTCTATTGAGAACGATATTCTTAAATGACTTGTGTGCTGGAGGACAGAAGTAGTTTATGCTAAGTTGGTAATAATATAACTTTTATTTTAAATGCATAAAAGTGCTTTTAAAATGAAAGGTTTTTGATTTTAATTGAGTTGTTCAGAACTGTTTTCAGCAGGTTTGTAATGTTGGAGATTATGGCTAGTGGATTAGTGCAGAATTCACCAAACAATGGATTGTTTACCTGCTAATAGGAAACGCGAGTTGGCTAAGATTCTTTGGTTTAGACCATCGAGAGATAGGTTAGTTTTAACCTACTGAGGATGCGTTGTTGTAATAGTAAGTAGATCTAAGTTTCCTTATTTGAACACGTTTAACTTGGGTTTTAGAATTTATTCTTCAATAGATTTATTCCACAAAAGTATCTGAAGAACAAAATAAAACAAGGAAAGTACTCGCATTTGCATAGCAACTGCTTACATTGAAACATCTCGAAAGTGTCACAAAACTTTTACTTGACTGGACACTAGGTCAATAGTCACTCCCCAAACCCTTCTCCATCTTTACTTGTGTCACATCTGTAACACTCTTATTTCATGTTTCCTGTTGCGTTACATTAAATACATCCATGTCAAAAACACAATACCATTTCTTAGTTCAAAGCTATTTTCCTCTTTGTACTAGTCACCACTATCCATTAGCAAGTTTCATAATATTATCAAAAGTGCACTGTTCAATATCATATCTGAATAATGGACACGGGGTGGGTTAGGGCAGCCCAAGAATAGACCTGTTGTAGAATTCCATTAATCACTTTTCCAGACTGAGCCTTTTCCATTTTTGAACCCTTTATAGATGTACTGCACTAAACTGGAATCTGATGTATGTAGGCAGTGTTACCAATAAGCTATTTTCAGATTATGTTGCCATTTGATAAATCTTGAGATGGAGCTGTAACATAGCCATGTTTTGTAGCATCAGGTTTAAATCATGGCGAACACCAAAATCTTAATAATATTTTTTACTATGACTGTGGTTGAACTAGCTGGAAGATCAAAATTGTGGCTGGCTGAAAGAGATCAAGATTATAGGAGCAGAAGTTTGCTAGAACAGGTGCCTTAAAGCAAAATATTTCCCTTTGAGCCAAAATAGAGTGAGTGCTGTCAGGATATTGTTGCAGCTCCATCTGAGCGTTTCTGACGATCAAAGTCTTTCAGTGTCAGGGGCTATGTGCAAAATGTTCAGTTTTCAACATTTTTGTGGCTCAGCTAAAACTTACTTCCTATACATTAACAAACTTGATGCCTTGCCTGGCGTAGGTTTGTTCAGATTTTTTTTAAAAAAGAATCTTACTGTCTTATAAACCGTTTACAGCCTAAATCAGTATTATAGCATTAATGAAGGATGAAGGACATGGTATACTTGATTTTAAGAGGAACATGAACAAACATTTAGTAATAATACAATTAAAATGTAGCAAATTATCTGTATAGTTTATATCTGTAGCAGTTTAGGGTAAAATTTCCCTGAGGTTTAGATTTATTCAATTTTATCGTAGCATTTCAGAGAGTGCAGAATTTGGCAAATTGTGGAACTCGGTTTTAACTTTGAAGCCAGTTTTCTGCGGTTCTTAAAAGAAACCTCCAGAAAGTGGACTTCAAAATTAAAGACTGTATCTAAAAATTCGACAATTTCTGAATGCTCTGAATTGTTAACTTAAGAGCAAGTCTAGACCCAAGTGGGAACTTGGAACAGTACCACAATATTAAGAACCATGAAATAGGAGGATGGTAGGGTTGATCTTCTGTAAGGACAAGATCAAATAGACGGAAGGGCCTTTTTCCTTCAAACCTCTTGTGAACAGTGGTTAACCTGTCTGGACATATTTGAATGTTTATTATTTTATATATTTTATCACAAATACATCTAATAACCAAAAAATGTCAAATGAATGCATACTGAACCAAACACAAAATGCCACCAATATTTAAAATGATTACCAATATAAAAGCAATAAGGCCCACATAATCCCTCTACCCATAACTATCCCCAACTGAGTGCCATCTTGGCAGAAAGCCATTTGGATCAAGATATCCCATATCTCCTCTGAACAATTTATTTTCTTGATGGAGATTCAAATGTTTTCTTTCATGTAGTCCTTTTTTTTGTTTTCCGACTAATGCTTTGTACTGTCCTGAAAATAAAATTGTTCAATCCAGAAATCCAAATTATTAGAACATTGAGATATTAAAAGGTATTCATTCTTACTATGATGAACTCCAGCAGCCCACTCTCAACATTCCTTTATTTACTGATCTGTTCAATCCTACATTCTCCTGTAAATAAACAAACCAGAACAAAATTACATTTCTATAGCACCTTTCACGTTGGGAGGACGTCCCTTTTAAATATAAATTTGTAACAATCGAATTAACACTAGCTTGGAGCATCTTCAATATGCAAACAATTTAGAAACCATCTCAGCTGAAAAACTAAGTAATATTTATTTTCTGGAAAACCAAACTGTCCAAGAGCCTAATCTAAATATTCCACAAGTAGTTGAGTCCTTTCATGCAGCATTAAACAAATGAATCTTCAAACAATTTAAAACATCTGTTGGAAATCAAAAGAATCTCATAAATGATTCAATTTTAGTAAAATATTTTGTATTTTTTTATGACAGATAGGAAGCTCTGTTTCAATAAACTCACTTCAGTTCTAATGGAATAAAGTTTAAATAATTCATCTGAATTAAACTTTATACCCAATTGTTCCATCAAGAGGTGATTCTGTCAGAAAGTCAATCAAGTTCCCTGGAACAAACTTGCACAAAGGAACCCAAATAATTTTACATCATTGTTCATATTTCTGTTAGGATTTTTATGGTCTAAAAGAGAATTCAACAACCACATATAGATGACGGGTATATGAGGATAAAGAGCTACAGCACAGAATTTGGATTAGGCATGGGTGGTTTCTTAAAGGAGCAAACAGTGAGACAAAAAGGTCCAAATGGCTTCCTACCATGTTGTACATTCTTATGGTTCTCTCAGCATCAACACATGCCTACAAAAACAAATCCCATAACAGATTGTAACTGTCTGGGTATTTGACACTATATCAAATCTCTTATTGTATATTTTTAGATGTTTGTTCATGGTTGCTTTAAAATAACAATACTAGAAAAAGAAAAAAATAATTATGAAACTTGACTAGATTGAATACATTATCTGCAAATATTTAGAATAAAAAGTATTGACGTTTAGTAAAGACAAATTATATTGCACAGATATTTGCCAGTGCTGCCTTTATCACAATGTTTAATGTTTGTACATTAATTGATTACAGAAAATGTATTCTTTCAGATCTTGCATTACTGCTTTTCATTTGCGAATTAATGTCAGGACTGCAGTAGTAGCAAACAATAATGGTATTAATGTTTATAATATGAAAATAATGGATGCTACTAGTTTTTCAAGACGAGTATGAATAACTACCACAAATGCAATATCTCATTTTCCAAATCATTTATACTTGAGCAGTACATATTTTATCATTAGTGTAATTAGTACTATTGTTTGAGTAATGCTGTTGCTCTCTTTTTGTTAAGTTTGAAGAAGGAAGCCATTTTTATAGTATGACAATCATTGAAATGTATAAAGTAAACTGAAATTTATTATATTTTAATAATCTTTGAAAAAAATGAAGAAATACAATGAAGTGTTTAATTCCTGGTCTAAAGGTAAAAATATTTATAGTTGCTAAGCTATTTAAATTTTTATGAAGGTTTGTTCCACATCTTTATAGAGAAAATGCCATATCCAGTATTAATGCATGTTACCTAATGGATTATGATTACTATAAATTGAGTCCATTTTTAGAATGTCTGACAGTGATGTCCTGGAGCTGAACGGTGATTACAGTTCAAACTCCATATTTTTACTTTTTTATTTTTGTAATTTATGCACACACGCCTACCTTTTATATGAAGTACTTTTTATACCTCCAGTGTTATTTCGGTAGGTAGTTTCCAGCTAATTTCAGTATATGAAGATGTGCAAAAATCACCATGATTTTTGTAATATTTAGTTTTGCATTACTTAGGCACTTAATATTTTATTGTAGAGCTCAGTTTACTAAAGTACAGTATAAAGTGGAGTCCTGTAGCTTAGTGGTTAGAGCACTCGCCTCGCAAGCTAGAGGATCTGGGTTCGATTCCCGGGAAGGGAGAAACGTTAGGCAAGTTTCCTTACTCCACACGCCCCTGTCTATCTAGTAGTAAGTAGGAACCCAGTTGTTAATCGATTGGCGGATCGCTTTTCCAGGGGTCATGATCCCATCAAAAAAATAATAATAATACTTTGGTCACTCAATCCATGACTGTTTGTAGGACACTACTGTGTGCAATTGGTTGCCACGTTTCGCTCACAAAATATACAGTCAATTCACTTTACAATATATTCTATGAAGCGCTTTGAGATGTCTCGAAGATGTGATAAGGCGCTATATCAAATCCAAGGATTATTATTATTGTTTTCCTTGAAATATATTAGTATTTAAGTTTAGAATGGTATCCATGTAAATTTTATTAAAGGAATATTTTAAAATTCTGAGGAGTGAATTGATTCATTTTTTTTTTTAATTTTCTTAATTGAAAAATTGGATTCTAATTTATATAATCTCTTGTATATCTTCGGTCCATTACAATATGCAGCATGGTGCTTTTACTAGATTGAGGTTACTGCAAAGTATTACATTTTCCCCTCTCTGTTGTATATTCAGAATCATGTTGCTTGCTCTTCTTCCTCTAACAGTTATCATATTTATTAGTATTATTGTTTGTGAAACACCGCTGTGCGTAATTGGCTGCTGCATTTCGCCCACAAAATAAACAGTTAATTCAGTTTACAGTATATTCTGTGAAGAGCTTTGAGAAGTCTCGAAGACATGATAAGGCGCTATATCAAATGCAAAGATTATTTTTGTAATGAAAGTTTTGTCTTCAACAAACTCTTACCAAGTCCAAAGTGGCAACTTTGAAAGAAATATTTTAATAGTACACTACCTCACAACATGGAACCCAACATTGATGATGAGCTGAAACCCCAGTTCAATATTTGGCTGTACACCACACACCAAGGTTAGTGTGTATAATTTGTGGGTTATCCTGGTCGGTTGATAGCACCCTTTTTTACGGGTCAGAAAGTTGTAGGTTCAAGCCCTATGTCAGGACTTTGAACTCAGATGGTTTAGGGTAACGTTCCAGTGCATATGTGCTGATGGGGAGGGACGGGGGCTGTATTATTGGAGGTCTCCCCTGCCTGTTCAGGTGGATGATAAATGCCCCATTGCACTTTTCGAAAAAAGAAGGGAGTTTGTTCCGCTGTGCTGGCCAACAATCTCCCCGATAAAATTGGTCATTCGCTTCATGGCTGTTGTGAGACATTGTATTGTGCAAATGGGCTGCCGCATTTGCTTACAAATGCGTCACTACACTTTACATAGATCCTATGAAGCACTTTGAGACATTTTCCTGACATGATGGGTGTTTTATCCAATATTAAAACTAGAAACATTGTAGCTTTCCAGGCAAGAAATCCTTCATCCTTCCATCCTTCATGGAAGGAACTCTAATCAAACTCTGACTTCATAGAAATAGATATAGCTGCCCGAGTGGAGTTCCAGAGAGTTGACACCAACACATCTGGGATTTGCTAGTTATCTATCTTTTTGCTACTCCACAATTTAAATCCCATTTAAAGGCTACGAACGTGTAAAAAATATACACTGGGAAATTGTTGAACGAAAGCTGTTTGTGGCAGTAAATCTATTAATTGGTGGTATTCAAAAGTGTTTCTGGCCCCTGTGCAGTATACTAAAAATATTGGGAATGTCTCAAAGGAGCTGGAAAGCTAGGATATGAAATTTCCTCCGGGTGGAGTAGGTGGGGGCAGAATCTATCAGCTTTCAGGAGGTAACCGGACAGTTATCTTGAAATGAATAATTTACAGTGGGGGTGAGGGAAGGTAAGTAAATTGGAATTCGGATTGCACTTTCAAAGAAATAGGACAGACACAATGGGTGGTATGGCTATCCTCTTAAGATTTTCATCCCATATACGGCATTGAGCATCCTCGTCTCTGCCCCTTCCTTATGACGTGTTCCAGTATTAATTATCCTGCAAATGGAAGAAATACTTCCTCATAATCTGTGCCCTCTAGTATTGTGCTGACGAGCGAGAGGACCAGTTTGATTCCCGGACGGGGCGAAACTTGGAGTCTCCTTACTCCGTACGCATCTGTTTACATAGCAATTGTTGGCAGATTGCTTTCCAGGGATAATAATCCCTCCAAACAAAAATGGTTACTCAAATGCACAACTGTTTTGCGCACAAGATATATAGGCGATTCAATTTGCAGTATATTCTGTGAAGCACTTTGGGACTGTTCAACAACGTGCTAAGGCGCTATATCAAATGAAAGGATTTCTGGGGACAGTCCCTGGACAAGGTATTGTGTCCCTGGGGCCACTTTTGCCCTGTCCTGAGGTCAGCCACAAACTTGAGGAAGAACAAGAACATCCTAAAACCAATACACTCATCAGGGAATTGCGGCCATTAATCCAACGAGCTTCTCTGTTGCTGCCAATTACAATTTATCTCTGACCTATTAACCCGGGGCGAGATAACCTGCACAGAGGTCCCAGTGTGCACGTGTGTGTGTGTGCGCGCCGCACGTGTGTGTGTGTGTGTGCGCGCGCGCGTGCGGTTCTGGCAGAATACACAGCAACAATGCACTGGAATGCGCTGTCTGAAGCGGATCCCATAACAACTTTCAAAAGAGAATTGGGTATATATTTTGGAAAGAAAAAAAATGACAAGGGCTTTGACGGGGATGGGGGGGTGGTGGTGGGGGGACTAGTGGGATGGCTCCCCCCGGAGAGCCGGCACAGGCACAATGGGGCCGAATGGGCTGCAAGTCCACGGTGACCAACCGCAGTAGTGCCTTTCGGGCCGGGAGGCCGTCCCCGAGGCGCGGAAACCCCAGTGGGGAAACTTGCCCTACGCCCAAAGGAGACTCGTGGCCCAAACTGAGCAAAGTCCCAAAACGCGCCCATTTTGCACGGGGTAAGTCTACCCCCAGGGGCGGGGCCTGTCTGCCCCCCCCCAGGGGGCGGGGCCTGTCTGCCCCCCCAGGGGGCGGGGCCTGTCTGCCCCCGGGGGCGGGGCCTGTCTGCCCCCAGGGGGCGGGGCCTGTCTGCCCCCCCCCCAGGGGGCGGGGCCTGTCTGCCCCCCCCAGGGGGCGGGGCCTGTCTGCCCCCGGGGGCGGGGCCTGTCTGCCCCCAGGGGCGGGGCCTGAGACACACACCGCGCCCCGGGGGGGGGAGGGGGGTGGTCAGGTGCGCGGGTCGCTCTGGGCAGTCGGAGCTGCGCGTTGGATGGCGCGATGACGTCAGCGCGCGGCGGCGTGGCGCGATGACGTCACGGCTGGCTGTCTGGCTGCCGGAGACGCACAAAGTTTTTTTTTTCGCGCGGAGCCGCAGAGACGGGGCTGCGGGAGGGGAGCGGAGCGGAGCGGCCGAGAGCAGCCGCCCGGACACCAGGTGAGTGTCACCCCGGGGCCGAGCAGCGGAGCGGAGGGGAGGGGGAGGGGAGTGCAGCCGACACACAGCTCAGCCGCCCCGGAGTGAGCGGCTGCCGCACGGCGCGGCTCCTCACTGGCCGCTCTGAGGCCTACAGCCCCGGGGAGGGGGAGGGGGGGGAGGGACGCGGTGTCTGTGTCTGTCTGTGACCCCCCCCACACACACACACACATACACACACCGGGGGTGGCGGGGTGGGGGCTCCCGGGAATGCGAACGATCCCGGGGCCGCTGTGCAGCCCGAGGAGGAGGGGGGGAGGCACTGACCTCTGAGGGGGGGAGGCGGGGGGGGGGGGGAGGGAGGGAGCACCGCCCGCTCGGGGCTGCGAGAGCATCAGATACCCCCCCACTCCCCCAGAGGGTGGAATCCCAGCACCTCTCCCCTCTCCCCTCCCTCTCCCCCCCCCTCCCCCTCTCCCCTCTCCCCCTCCCCCCCCTCTGACAGCCCAGGTCCTCGGTTACATCGAGAATGTGCAGAAAAATACTCCCCAAACCAGAGGAGGTTCATTGTTTCATCAACCAAACAAACTCTCATCTCTGACCTATTAACCTGGAGGGGGAGTGGGGAGAGGGGTGGTGGGGAGTGGGGAGAGGGGGGGGGCAGATAACCTGCGCAGATGAACAAAGACATGTTCACAAGGCACCAAATTGTGTCAGATGCCCCACATCATTGTCAGGAAAGCCCCGAGCGAGCGAGATTCTTGCTTCCGAGCCTCCGGTGGGGGCTGCAAAGCCAACTTGCTTGGTCTCGGTTGGCAAGACGTGATCTTGTACTTGACAGCAGTGGTGGGATCCGGCAGTGACACCCCGCTCCCTTTTGTGTAAGGTAATATCGCCAACAAGATGGAGAAAAATATGCTTCTGGTGGGGGGAAAGGGAAAGAAATTGGAGCAATGTACGAGCAATCTGTACATTGTAATAAAAGCACGTCAGCCAACCAGCCACTCCACATGGTCAGTGTAGCGCTGGCTGATTGCTGTGTGGTCAGCGATTCCCACTTTTCGGTTGAGACTTTAAACCAATGGATCCAACTGCCCATTCTTCACATGGACATTAAAGATCCCCATGACGAAAAGGGAGTTTATCTTGATGTCCTGGCCAACAAATCCTCCAGATAAATTGGGCATTTACTTCATGGCTGGATCTAGAGTCTTGTTGGCAAAAAGACTTCGGACTTTGCCAACAAAAACATTCAACGCACTTGACAGTAATTACCTATGAATTTTCTGGATACCTTATAAGGCTGTTCTGGCAAAGGATCGGATGTGGGAGTTGAAATTCAACTCTACAGAATGCAATTAGGGTGGTAATAAAGAAGCTTAGTTCATTTTTGTGCATTTCACTGACAATTTAAGTTTCCTGACTCCACACTCCTCTGTTTGCCTTGCGGTCAGTGGGAACCAGGTTGTTGGTCGATCGGCAAATCGCTTTCCAAGGGTAATAATCCCTCCAAAAAAGAAAAATAAATAATGATAATAATTTGATCACTCAAGCCACGCCTGTTTGTGGGACACTGTTGTGCGCAATTGGCTATGGCGTTTCGCCCATAAAATACACCGTCGCTCCACTTTACAATATATTTTTTGAAGTGCTTTTATATGTCTCAATGACATGATAAGGTGCTATATCAAATGCAAGGATTATTATAATTTTTACAGGGTATACTATAAAGTGGTGACTGTATGTGGTGGGCAAATGTCATCAAGTTAAATGACACATTTTTGTCTGGGGGATTGTTGGCTGGGAGAAATTCCCTTCTCTTTTTAAAAAGTGCTATGGGATTTTTAATGCAGGGTAGGAATGGGGTCGATGCAGCAGGTGGGGGTTTCATATGGGTTATAATAGTGACTCACTCCGCCTCTCTGTCTACATGTCTTTTTGTTTGTCTGTCTGGCTTGCTCTGCCTGTCTGTCTGGCTCGCTCCATCTGTACTCCTATCAGTCTGGTTTGCTCCGCCTGTCTGTCTTTGCCTGTCTTGTCTGATTGACTCGCTCCACCTGTCTTTCTGTCTGGCTGGCTCTCTGCCTGTTTGTATCACGTTCTGATCTTTTTCTTTAACCTTTTCTCATTGGCATTCCTTTAACATTTGCAGATATTAATGTTGCTTATTCCATTATGCAGGGTGTTAGCACTTTAACCCGTTGGTCAATAGATTGTGGATTTGAGCCCCATGTTGCTGGTGATGTATTTCTGATCAGCTATTAAACAAAGGTCCGGTCTGCTTGTAATTAGAGGGCATTGTTTTAGTAAACTTTTGTGCTGATCTGTATCAAGCATTTAGTTTTCTACTTTGTGCACCAATGTAATTATCGGGTTAGGGATAGACTGAACAGATATGGAGAAAAGTTCCTTTTACCTTTGTCCTGACAATGTAATTATTAATAATAATACGAATACACCTTGCATTTGATATAACGCCTTATCACATCTTTGAGACATTTCAAAGCGCTTCACAGAATTTCTGTAATGTGGATTGACTGTATTTTGTGGGCAAAATGTATCAAATGTACCCATTTGGCCCAATTTGGCTGCGCTCTTATGTTTGCCCCATCCAACTTCATCCCCTCTCCTGAACCTCTATTTTCCTCTCCCTCCTGTATGCATCAAGATGTCTCTGTAATAATAAGAATGAATTGTATTTTCAAAGTAAATTGAAATAGTGAATTAGTTCTTGATTTTTGCAGTGAGCCACACTGAACAGCTGGGTTGGAGTCAAGGAGAGAATCCCTGCTCCGTCCATCCCATCTAACCTCAGCCAAATGGAATGGATGGAGAGAGCAGGGATGAGCACTGGTGGAAAGAGAGATTCAGGCTCAGGAGCTTAAACAATCTGAACGAACAAGCAATCAGATCAGTCTCCACATTGCACCGTATGTTCTCAGCTAAACATAGCAATGGGGTGGAAGTGGGAGAACAATGATTGTTGAAAGCATAGTTTGATATTTTTCTGCACATGTGGGTGTCAATGCAGGGCTGAGCCTAGATACAGCAGACAATGAATCAAATATTCCCTTTCCAACCACAGGAACATTTGCCTCTGCAAGATTACAAACCAAACAACATTTGGAGAGTACCGATAATTTATTTGACCAGTTTTTTTAAAGATTTGTTTGGGTTTGAATGACCCGATAAGCCTTATTCTGTGCTGTAAATTTCTGTGGTCAATTTCTATGGGTTTTATTGCGTTTACATCAAAAAATACTGAGGCTTAAATATGGATATAATTTAAATCATTGTTTAGTTACCTGTTTTTCATTTGAGTTTTTCTGTGTAATGAAATTCCACTGTCCTGAATGTAATTACAAATTTACATCTGACATATTTATTAAGACTTCAAGTTGCCCCCATTTTGGAAGAACTGAAAGTTTCAACTTGATTGTAGAACAAACTGTATCTGCGAAGCTCTGCATTAGAACCTCCTTTTAACGTGCAAATATTACCAAAATTGGGATTAACCACCTTATTCGGTTTCTTTTGAATAGTTCTTAAATACTTGGGCCTTAGTGATGACTAAATTGGTATCTAGTTTGATAGTGACTGAAGCTAATTGAAGTAAAGGAGCTAAGTATTTGTCCATGGTTGGCTAGTCATTAACTCATCAAACTGCTAGATTAATTAATAGGTATATTTATTTCCTAGACAGTTCTGTCATTATATATTGATTTAGAGAAGCTGTAACTATTATCAGTGATTACTTCCATAATCCGTTCAGCTGCCTCCGCCCTCCCAACCGCCACTCCCTCCCCATCTCTTCCCCCCCACACTTCCCTCCACATCTTCAAACCTGTCTCCCCCTCCACTCTCATCACCACCATATCCAGCATGAAACACACTCCCTGCTCCCTTGACCCCATCCCCACCCCTCTCAGTACCTCCCAGCTCCACCTCCCCGCCCCTCTACTCCGATACCATCAATCTCTCCCTATCATCTGGCACTATTCCCATCCCCCTAAAAGCAGCTGTAATTACCCCATCCTTAAAAAACCTTCCCTGGACCCATCCCTGTTTCCTAACTACCGGCCCATCTCCAATCTCCTTTATCTTGCCAATGTCCTTGGAAAAAGTCCATTGCTTCCCAGCTTCACTTCTTCCTCTTCTACCACTCCCTTCATGCGTCCCGTGCTGCAAAGTCGCCCGGCTCCGCCACTGTCTCACACCGCAGGCCGCCGAAAACCTCATACACGCATTCATAACATCCAGGCTTGACTATGCAAACTCACTGCTTGTCGGCCTCCCCAACTCCTCCCTCCATAGGCTGCAGGTCATCCAGAACTCTGCAGCCCGTGTCCTTTCCCGCACCAGGCTCCGTGACCCTATCACCCCCATCCTCGCCCGACTCCACTGGCTTCCCATCACATAGAGGATACAGTTCAAGATCCTGGTCATCACCTTCAAAGTCCTCCATGGCTTTGCTCCCCCCTACCTCTGCAACCTCCTAACCCCCTACCAACCTGCCCACTCCCTCCATTCACCGGGCTTCACGTTCCGCTGCCTTGTGATTTAGGTCTTATCTCTCACACCGTCTCCAATTTGTCTCTGCCATCGGTTTCTCTTCCAGCCCCCACACAGTCTCGTGTAGTATTCCTCAGGGTCTGCCCTCGGTCCCCTCCTCTTCAACCCCTATACGCTCCCTCTTGGTGACATCATCCGCAGACATGGGGTCAACTTCCACATGTATGCGGATGACACCCAACTGTACCTCTCTGCCTCCACCCTTGATTCTAGGATGACTAACATCCTGACAGACTGTCTGTCAGACACCAAATCCTGGATAAGAGCCAACTTTCTACAGCTAAATGTCAGCAAGACCGAGGCCCTCCTGATTGGCTCGCCTTCGCCTCCGCACCTCAGACACTGGCAGCATCAGTATCCACGGTTGCACTTTCCACCTCACCAAACCAGTCAGGAACCTGGACGTCTTGTTCGACCCTCAATTGTCATTTCTCCCCCATATCCGTGCC